ACCTCTCCTCTCCCCGTATGAAATTGCGAAGATACAGGGGATTATAAAGAGTACAAAATTATGTTACATTAGACATACAAAGCTTAATAATTTGAATGGACAAAATTTGAAGCTTATTCCAATTTAAAAGCTGTAATCGATTCTACTGACTACCTGACTTCAGAACAAGTTTCCACAAAGAAATTAAATTCGCGCAACAATTCGCGCATGTATGCCAAATACAAGCAAACATAAAAAAGGCAACTCTTACTTTGCTTTAAATTGATTCCATCCACAGATGTGAACTCAGGTCCCGGATTTTGCTATAAATCTGAAAACAAAGGAAAACTCTCAAGCCGCAGCGCTCGGAATACCCTGAAATGAAAATGGCAGAAGGGCCTCGTTTACTTGTTGTATGCTCGATTACAAGTATGACCATCACACGTCCAACCCACTTCAGAAGGTAGGGCAGACTACCATATCGCATCCGTGCAGCAACTTCGACCATAACTCAATAGAGTTCGCATAAATAATAAGTACCTAAGTCTGTACTGAAATTGACAAACAAATTGAAGGCGATATCTTATGTTCCTGAAGCGCACACTACGATACAATTATTGCGCTCCACTGTTACGGAAGTGTTTTCGTGGTTGTCACTGGAATCCTTGAGTTCAAAGCTGTTGCATGACCTAGTGACCCAAATACCGAAATGACCGCTGGTATCAGCAGGTGTTGGCTAATCTGTCACCAAGCGTTAGCACTTCCCCAAACTCGTAGGCAAGGTGGTACTAGTCCATTAAACCGGTGTCATTAAAATGGATTTTTGACTCCCACGATTAAACTACCAGAAAGAAAGAGGGGTTCACCTAGAGGCGTAACTAGGTTACTAGGGTATGGCATGACACGTGCCATGGGCGCCAATCAAGGGGGGCACGAAAAAGGCGCTTTTATACATATAAATATGTATATTAAAAGACTTTGAGAGTGGGACATTATTATAAATGAATAACACGTTTATGGTAAATTAAAAAAAATAGTCCCAACCCCCTATCAATGGACGGTCGAAGAGGGGCGTAAGGTCGGTTTTTTCCATAGGCGCCATTTACCCACAGTACGCCCTGGGTCCCACCCATTAAAAACAAAACCCTAAAATAAGTTATATGTAACCCTCGTTCGTACTTACTTACTTAAAAACAGTGTGGTAAAAAATTACAAAATTATATATTTATGTTGATATGTAATTCGAGCACGTAGAACTAATACATTTATTTATATCGCGCTTTGAGATACAACTGAAACGGTAAACGGGTCCGTTAACTTAGCACTTAGAGATTGATTGTCATATTATTATAAGGTAATGCGCTCACATGCGCCACCGATAATAACTCTTGCGCCGTTATCGTTTTTTAGCAATCCGAAAATGCATTCGGGAGGAACCAGGTATACGTAGCCCTCTCCACTACGTATTTTGTCGCTGGTATCTATGTCACCTGAATTAGAGCTAGAGCCATTACGGTTAAGCTATAAGAAAATGTTGAAAAGTGTGTGGGGGGAGGGGGGCAAGTTTTTAAAACATATTTTTTGCACTCCATCGTAAACTGAAATTCAAATCTGTACTAGCGTGGGTTTTAGTCCACTTTTTTTATATTAAAAATATTCCGTTCTTGACTAGGGCGAATTGAAATGGGCATTAGTTTTACTTTCATTCAAAGTGCCTACGTATATCTCATTTAGATGCTTTCGTAAATAAGAGAGTTGGCTTGCCCATGCGCAAAAAATATCTATAAATAAAAAAGTTAGCATTGCACATGCGTTAAACCAAATTTTTGACACTGCGCATGCGCCAAATTAAAAAAAATATCGGAATGAGCGGAATCCTTGGACCAAGCCCTTTCAAATAATCCCCATATCGCCCAAATCGGTTCAGTCGTGTAGAAGGATTACGTGTGACGGACGGACGATAAAGTGCAGCCAATAGCGATTTTTGACTTTGGGGAAAATACGCTAAAAAGATAAACCACCTCTGAATTTGGTATGTCCTGCTTCTTATTGCTATAGAAAACAGCAACGCTAATTCGCACATTTATTTAAATTAAAAAGTGTTCCAAAAAATGGTCTTTTATGAAACTGCATGTGGCAGCTACTTCTTCTTCTATGTGGTTTATTAAATTAGTTCATGCGCCAGTTGGTAATGTATTCGCACGTTAGATTTTATACATACATTTTTTTCTAATCGCATTTTATAAACCTTCAAGTAGGTGATGCGATCATAGTGTATTGAAAGACAAGTGTTACAATGCGACCTATTGTAATACGACTATCTTGTGGCACGAGTGGCGACGCAAAGCGTAGCCACGAGTGTCCGCAAGTTAGGAGTATTACAATAAAGCATTGTAACACGCGTTTTTCATACTATTTTTTCTATTTCGGTGCTTTAATTAAATTAAAAAAATCATTATCAGAAACTATAGGGAACATTGGAACTAACATGTTTTATGTTGGGAACACTTTTTATGCCGTTAAGTTTTAGGTTGGCAGCGTAGTAAGACTGACATTTTGAAGTTCAAACATGGAAGTATTGTACCTACTTGTACTAACTATAGTAACTGCCAACTGAAGAGATGCAGATGAGTTACCAAAAAAAAAACGACTATAATCACTGTCTTTGTACAACTGTTGTACAAAATCATCATTGTGACACCGAAATAGAAAATTTTTTTTTTTAAATTTACTAATCCATACATCCATACTTATTCAACAACATACCTACAATACTTAAATTATACAAAACCGTAGCGTTGAGTGAAAAATAGTATGCACTCAACGACCGTAGTGTAACACCGCGCTAACAACGATTGATTTATAAATCATTAACCAGGGGTAACTAAGAGAGGTCTATAGGTACCTACGTTCTTTCTAACAAATGTCAAACTTGTTGAAATATTTTTTTGTGATGAGAGAGTTATATAATTATACTCGTACATACTTATATGGATATGGATGCTGCTACGGGGGTTCCTTCTGGACTTGAAAATTACCATCGGTTCCGCCCGGCAAGGCAAACCGTCTTCTTCTCAGGCTGCTCAATCGATAAAAATAAATGCTCCGGCTAACTCAAATCGGTGGGCTTTTAACTCTTTTGAAACTGCGTAACAAACCTTAAACTGCCGCCTACCAGTCTCCTGCCTCAACTCCTACTCCTCCCTTTCCTTCCCCTCGTTCTTCGTTAAAGACAGGCACATTGAAACCAAATAGATAATATATTGAAATGAGATTAGCGATACAAACAATTTACAGGGATCTAGCAGTTCTTCTCTTCTACTTGTAAAAACACTAGCTTAACAATGACAACTACTAACTAAAAAATCCTAACAGGTGAAACTAATTTACTCAAGGGGTGGCCATCCTCTACAGTTTGAAAAATGCAACAACAGGTAATCAGTTTTTTAATCCAGCGTGGGCTGGGACTTATTTAAATAAACACAAAAATTTATCCTACTCTTTGGTAATCGTTCATTGGACTTTAATAAACAATCAACTCAAAAAAATTTTTTTTACTATAGCTTAATTACCAAAAAGTGGAATTTTACAGAATGTTACAAATTTAATTAGACTAACCTTTACAACATTTGTACAGCCGATCTTGTGAACTGCTCTTTCCTCTGGTACAGGGTGGATGTGATGAAACCTGACACTTAGGTCTCTGTGACTTCCTAGGGGTGGCTTGAGTTTAACACACGGAAACAAAAATCCACGGTGCCTATCCTTCCTCGGAACGAAAGCAAAGTTTAGCGTTTGAAACGGAAACTTAGTCCAGGAAATCCTTCGCGTGGCGAGTGGGAGACGGCTAGTTGCCAAAGTTTCTACACAGCACAGTGTATTTAATTTTATTTTATTAGTTTATTAGCTTTGACCGCCTGCGGGAGACGGATTTTTTGAGTTAGCGGTACGGCAGAACACAAATTGTTATGATCACTATCCGACGGTAAACCGCGATGGTTCGACGTATTATTTCACCAGCTCTTCTTGGGGCAAATATCTCTCCGAAACGCAGCGCTCCTTCGACAAATGACCTTACGGCACTAGTAGGAAATTCCACCTGGGGCGGGTCCCGAAATTCTGCGCCTTGAGGACTAGGGCAGCACTTTGAATTATATATCCTCGAGAAATCACAACGTATCCTAACGCGATTCACTGCATCCAAAGTAAACTGGGGTGAAGCTCAAGGGTTCGCCAAAATATCACCTGATTGGAAACTGGGTCTTCTTCGCCAAAAAATCAACACGAAAAGAAAATAACACTTCGGAACGGGTGCAAAAAGCACGCAACTGGGAGCAACCGAAATAAGCCGGTGGCTCAAACCGCCAAGTGTACCAAAACTTTCGCTCAAGGTACGTTTGACCCCTCGACGTACTAGCCGCGAGTCTTCCCAAAAACGATCCCCTTCTTCAGAATTGAAATGAAAAAACCACACCCAAATTACCATAAAACAAAAATGGCTCCCGCTAGAAATTCTCCCAGTGGTTCAGATAAAGAAGACTTTACCCACTCTAACTTCGTCATTAACCTCAAAGAACTGCTGACCAAACTGATCTCACGGTTTTCTGCTGATGACGTGGAAACCTCCTTATCTCTGACAGCTCGGTGCTACATCCGCTCCTATTCTCGGTCTAGACGGCGCCAAAGTTGATAAACAAACGACAAAAAACTCGCATTACTCATGATGACGTCAATCAGCTTTGCACTCTTCCCACGACGAAATTAAATCTGAGCGAAATTAAATCTATCGGACCATAGTCTTGAGCGAACCGAAATGCCCAAACACAAAATTTCTAACCGGAACAAATAATGAAATATACAGGGTGACCTGCACTATCATGACAAGAAATTTCAAAATTTTTAATGAAATTTGGCGCGAAATAAAACCACTCGTTACAATGCACACAATTTACTTATGAATGAATTCTTATATTACTTTCTCAAAAAAATCAGTTAACTAATACTTATTTTTTTTCTTTCAGTTACTCTTAGAACATTTAGAATGCTTGGTGTCGAGGCATGAACGATCATTAAGAATGACTGTAGTGAAACGGCAAGCTGCTGCTCAATCGGGTGTATCTAGTGAAGTAGAAGTTTTGAAGGCACTGAAAAGTCTATTTGAACATCACAAAGCTTTAGATGAAAAGGTACAATTCAAAAGAACTTGAAAATTACTTTATGAACCATTTTTACATTTTTAGGTGAGAGAGAGGTTAAGAGTCGCGTTAGAAAGAAATTCTGTGTTAGAGGAAGAATTAGCGTCAACCAAAGAAGAAGTAAGTATGCAAGTGCTCTTATTGGTAGGTTTTTATATTTTCGTTTTCTGCAGTTACAACAATACAAACTTGGGGGTCTACCCTCTAATGTACCTGCAATAGAAGATAAACCCAAAGAAAATGGCCAAGTGGAACATGGGGACCAAGTTACAAATTCAATTAAGGTAATTAATGAAAACTGTAATTTTAGCCACTGCAAAATTTATGTTACGAGATCTAAAAATGATCCTTCTCTTCTGCAACTTTTTTTTTATATATTCATTTAAATTGTCTTCAATTTGTTCTTATCTGCTTTTAAAGAGTGTCTACACATTTTCATGTTGAAGTTACACTCCGTCGTATAGCACTCACTTATTCAATACATTCCTACTTAATATCTTTTTTAAATGTTCAAAAAATTTTAATTAATCGATTTTCCGAAATACGGCGAATCTGGTATCAGTAAGATGGAATCTTTGTACACACCAAATACTATCGGTATGGTTAAAAACACATACCCTTTTATTTTTTCCCATTTTAACGGGAATGCAGAGAGTTACCTTTATTTCACCAACACATCTCATAGTACAATACTCACGTAAGGTCAACCTTCGCTCATCTGTTTACCGCGTGAAATACAATTTTTAGCGATCTTAATATTTAAACAAACACATTGCGGATGGGTTGCCGAAAAAAATTCAGTGAAGGCTGCCCTGAATTAACATTAAAATAATTATTTTTTTTTACTTTTACGCTCATCTGTAAACCAAACGCAATCAATGTAAGATAAGAGTAGGATATAACGGACAAGAGGCCGTTGGGTTGCTTATCTTTTTCTGGTCTCTACTACTGGGTGAATTGGGTAGTTTACAATTAAAATTTATATAAAAATAACGTTAATGATATTACAAATATGATGGTATAGGGTTGTCTAAGTAATTTCGGTTATCGCAATTTTAATTGGCGCGCGAGAGAGAAACGGTGCGTGCATTTTTCCATGTGAAAGAGAAGGACGCAGCATAAAAGCTGTTTGTGGTGTAGATGTTACGGGCAAAGATGATAATTGGACATTAACGATAATGGCCGGACAATGATGTGAATGCATTGACGTTACGAACCTGTGCGGGCGGGCAATGTTGTTAATATTGCAATTTCATTGTCCTGTTAACATCTGTGGCCAGCCATTAACAATAATGGCCAAGATTGACTGGAGAATGTTGTTATGGATATGATTATCGGAACTAAACAATATATTTATCAATTAAGATAATAATATCTTATTTTCACTACTAATAAAATCATTATTGAATGAGAATTGAGAAATCTGCCAATTTGAATTTTTTTTGATAATTATTAACCGTTGTCAATCGACAACGGTATTTTTCTATAAATTTTAATTGCTAAACACATGAGCGTACGACGTACGTATATATCCCCAATTCACAGGCCGCACGCTATAACATGGTGAATTACGACCGAATATGACATCAGCAACTGCCGGGAAAACTGTCGATTGAAATTCTTATTTCAGTGCTTACGTTCACCAGACGAAGCCCTTCATGAGTGCTACCTAAAGGTGGGAATACTCCAGATCTAAAGCTCACACCATGCTATAGCGCGCGGCGTATACCTGTTTATACCTGCCAACCTAGTAGAACGGACCAGAAAAAGATAGGCATTAGGCAACCCAATGGCGTCTTGTCCTTTATCTCATACTCGTACTTTATATTGATTAAGTTTGGTTTACAGATGAGCATAAAAGATAAAAAATTAAAAATTATATTAATTTGAATTAAGGGTACCCTTGACTTAATTTTTTTAGGCATACATATTAAGATTGCTAAAAAAATATTTCCCTTGGTAAACAGATTGGTGATGGTTAACCTTATGTGGGATCTTAGATCAGTTATCCCCATGACTGTATCAATACCGTAATAGGTACGGCATGTACAGTTCTTATGATTACATCAGATTTTCCAAGTGGTGCAAATAAAGTATGGACTCTAAGAAGTACATGGCAATTTTAGTGCAATGCAAGGCTTGTGCTATGCAATCTAAAATTGCCTTGCATTGCTTATTACGGTTTTACATTTATGCAATTGTGTTGCAACTTTTGTGCAAGTTCAGAAAAGTGTTGCAGTACTGACAACATATTTTTCAAAAATTGAAACTTTTCAGTTTGTTTACACCGAAGGTTATTCTTGAAACTTAATAAAATTGACCATTAGGTATGAGCAAACAAAAGGAAATTAAGCTGGCTACAGCTTATTATGTGGTGGCGCTTGCTATTAAAAAAAAACACACAAAATAACACACGCGAAACCAAATAAATTGTGGTATTGACAAAATTACTAGAAAAGTTACTAGAACTTGCGCCAAACTTGCAAGTGAAATAGAACTTTCTCTATTTATTTTTCTTGCACCTGAATTGCGTATGAACATGCGCAGTAACGTATCTCTAACTTGCATTGCACGAAAATTGCCTAATGTAAAGCGGCTTTAAGAAGTATGCAGGGTGCAATTTGAAATTTTTTTGGTTTATAGTTTGAGGAGTAAATAATAACAAAATAAATCACAAGTGATATATTATGTTGTTAATGTTTAGACATATTTCGTGCAACACATTTGGTACAGATATGAGATTAGTATAATCAAAAATGACGAAAGCGGATTAACAACGCCTGCTTCTACGTTTGTTCCTAGTTTTAGTATTAAAACTTCAATTTTTGCAAATTGGTAGTAAAAAAACTTAGAGGGTTAATTTACATAAATTGGTACCACAATGGGAGATTGTTAGCGTTGGTAATCACCAAAACTTTCATATTGATATAAAAGCGATACTTCTTACTTCATAACCACTTTTATAAAAAAGTCAAAAATTACTGTAATGTAGATATACTACATACATTTGACAATTTATTTCCGCAGAAAAATTTCACATTCTTTGTCGCTCAACTAGAGTAGGATGGAGAAGGAAGTTTTCAAATTACCACCCTGCATATTTGTACTTCCTATCATGACACAATTCACACAATGTGATTAATGGACATTTGTGCATTAAAATGTTTAGTAGTTTAAAACTCGTAAGTTGTCCCAAATTTTTTGTTGCAAAGGTCTATTAGTAAATTTATGTACCACTGCAATTTTTACTATTCAAATTTTTGATGTGGCTATTTTTTTATTTGAAATGTTTTTGTATCATGCCAATATGAATGAATGACTTTGAAATTCATTTTTTGTCTTCGCCACATTTTTAGTTAGACAACTTAGTAGGTATATGAATTTATGCTGGCTTTATATTGCATGTAATTAAATAGATGTTGCGATGTACGCATGTTTATGTGATGAAATAGGCAACCGCGAAGCAGCGACTTACCAATGGGGGCATGGAAATGGAAACAGATTCGGCAGCACGGATTGTAGATCTGCAAACTGCTTTAGAACAGCAAGTGAGATATACTTTTAAATTCCTTTTTATAAATAATTTTACCAGATTTATTAAATTTAGTTTAACTGATTGTTACTTTAATAATAGACTGGCGAAATTAGTACCTGGCAGAGGAGGGTAGCGGAAATGACCAATAGAGTAGGAGAATTAGAGGAAAATTTCGCAAAAGCACAAAAAGATCTTCTTAAGGCACAAGAGTCCAACTCAAAACTTCAGAGGGACTTACAGGAGAACGTGGCGCAGAAAGAGGACCAAGAGGAGAGAATCGCCACTTTAGAAAAAAGGTATTTGAATGCTCAAAGGGAATCCACCTCGTTGCACGATCTAAATGAAAAATTAGAACAAGAACTACAGCACAAAGAAGCTCAACTAAAGGTATACTAACTTACGAATTTCATGATTTCATCTTGTATATTTTGTAGTTGCAAGAAGAAAAAATTGCAGCTATTCAAGAAAAGTTAGAATTAGCCGAACAAAAGCTAGCACAATATTCTAAGTTACCAGAAATGGAGGAGCAGTTGAAGCAGCGAATGGAGGCATTGACGCAGGTGAGACCACAGGTACGAAACTCTATGCTCACTTTTTGTCTGTTTCTATATGTTTTGTCTTGGTAAATTTTTAATGCACTTTAATGAAATTTTTTATAACCTCACGGTTAGTTGTTATAAGGCGCATGTTGTTAGGGGAGTCATATACGAGTTACATTGAAGTTAATGTTGTTTTAAAAGTTTGTAGTCAGCAAGAAATTGTATCATGCACTTTTATTGTATGTTAAAAACATATAAACAATCAATTTTTATAAAGGAAGCTAAAATTAATGGTGTGCATTAGTGAATTTAATAGGCATTTTTTAAGAGTTATACTCATTCACCCAGGGTATCACCAAATTTTGACATTGCATTTCGTAATGCATTTTTAAACCAATCATAACACAATCTTCTGCAATGTTAATGTGGTCATTTTTCATTTCATGAAATTAAAAATAGTTTTTCTTTTTGGGCATCTGTGATGCTATACGGTGTAAATATACTAGGGCCACAGATGTACACAAACAAATCTGTGCTAGGCCACTTTATTTAGCCCCGGCTGTATATGGAATGAATTCCAGGGCGGTCATGTAGCTAGCACTACGCTTCTTAGCCACCTATTATTACCCCAGAAATGAATTCCAGGTAGTCAAATATTGAATAAGTAAATGGTAGTCAATTTTAGACGCTGAGAGGATCCCACGCACAAGAAAAGAATATTTAGGTACGCCAAAAAGGGCCTGGCAGGACTAGGAATTGAACATGGATCTTCTCAATTCAGAATCACTAGACGATAATTATTTCTACAATCAAGTGGTTTGCTGTAATGACTTGCTTTTGCTCTTGCGACTTCGTATGCCCATAAACATTACTCTCTGTCTTAATTCAGTTTTTCCCCGTTCCTGTGGGAATTTCGGGAAGAGATTTCGGAGTACTAACACATTCAAAAAAACCTACGTTCTAAGTGTCAAGTCTCTCTTTCGCAGTTTTGACGTAAAATCCCGTTTTTTTGCTGATCCTGTAGGAATTTTGGCAAATCCTCTGTTAGTGGTCCCCTACAACTCCCAAGGAACATACAGGGTGATTCCTATAGTACCTGCCACCGTTTGGGAGCGTGTAGGTGGTGCGTAGGGGAGTATTTTGATATAGGACACTTGGGGTCGGAAATCTAAAATAAGGGTGCCAGAGCCAAATTTACCTTCTGGAATTTCGCGCCTGTAGGTAGGCAACCCAACCGGCCGGCGGTGCACACGGAGCGATCTCAGGCGGCGATGTGTGGCTGACACATGATCAGAATTTTGTTTAAACCCACGAAATCCCGTCTGCAACGACGCGTATCAAGTGAATAAACACTATGGCACGTTTTACTAACACGGAATACGCGGACATGCACTTCATGTACGGATTGGCAAATAGTAACGCACGAGCTGCACGACGAGCGTACGCTGAGCGGTATCCAAACCGTCAGTTACCCTGCAGACAGGTCTTTCAAGAAGTTCACTTCCGACTGTGCGAGACAGGGCAATTGCAGGTAAGCTGACGGAGGCTTAACTTTACACACAGATTCGTGATGCACATCGATACTTGGGTCATTTAAGCACCCATTTCGAAAAGTTTGTTTGTTAAAGCCTACCAATCGACAACAATTACCACAAACACTTACAGAATGCAACCCACCTTTGACCCGGATCGCGCAATTACACCGACCTCCTCCTATTTCGCAGCCCACTAGCGCCCGTGATCGCGATCGCCCGTTGGTAAATGCCTTAGAGGAGGATGTGTTGGAACGTTTCGAGGCAAACCCGCGTACTAGCACTCGACTTGTAGCAGATCAGGTGGGTTGTAGTCAACACACAGTGCGGAACATCGCCAACAACAACAACTTACACCCCTATAAGTTTAAGAAAGTGCAAGAGTTACGGCCGGGTGACCATGAAAGGAGGCTGGAATTCTGAAACTTAGTCGTCCAGGAGGAAGAAGCTAATCCGAACTTTCTGAGGAGCGTGCTAGTTACTGACGAGAAAGGATTCTTAAGAGAGGGGACCTTCAATCCTCGTAACAGCCACTACTGGGCGGACCACAATCCTCATGAAACGTTTACGCGAGGATACCAGGACAAGTTTTCTTTAAACGTTTGGGCTGGCATCCTGGGGGACAACCTACTGGGGCCTTACATCCTCCCTCCGCGTCTAAATGCCCATAATTACCTGATTTTCCCGCGCGAGGTGCTACCAGAACTTTTAATGGATGTTCCAGTGAACTTGTACTGGGACCACTGGTTCCAGCACGATGGGTGCCCTGCTCACTACGGGCGGCAGGTGAGGGAACACTTGGACCAAACCTATCCGGACAGATGGATCGGCCGTGGAGGTGCGGTGGAGTGGCCTGCCCGCTCGCCCGACATCGCCCCATTAGATTTTTACTTGTGGGGTGTGATGGAAGCGCACGTCTACGAGACTCCCGTCGAATCCGAAGAGGACTTAATTGCGCGCGTCGTCATGGCCGGAGAGGCTGTTCGCCAAGACATAGGAGTCTTCACGCGAATTCGAGGGGAGTGGTTGGCTAGATGTAGGAAGTGCATTGAGAACAACGGTGGCCACGTTGAACACTTGTAAACGTTATTGCTTTTGACTGTCGTTTTCCCTCCATCCCTCCCATGTCGCTTCCTCGCGCTAACTCGCTCTGCATCGCTCCGCGCGAAACGTCGGTCGGTTGGGTTGCCTACATACAGGCGTGAAATTCCAGAAGATAAATTTGGTTCTGGCGCCCTTATTTTAGATTTCCGACCCCAAGTGTCCTATATGAAAAGACTTCCCCTAGGCACCCCCTATACGCTCCCAAACGGTGGCAGGTACTATAGGAATCACCCTGTATATGCCAAACTTCAGCTTGCTACTGTACGTTGTCTGTCAGTTAGTAACGGAAGAGTTTATATAATAATAATAATCTTTATTGTAACACAAAAATTTTTTTTTACAAATGTCAATTCTGAAAAGGATAAAAAGCAAGGGACAAATACAGAGTAGGTATTCTTTTTATTTGTCCACTACCACTATTGCTATCTCGAGTACTGTAAGAGCTGAGCTACGAGGTCTGTTAAATTAGCAAACAATTTCTATTTTACAAGACTATTTTAATGAGGTCAAAAAAATTTTTTTCCAGCAGTGGTTAACAAACTGGGGATACCAATTTTGTTATTTTAAATGGAACTATAATTTTGTTTCCTTATTCGATAGAGAATTTTATTTTGAATTCAGTGATTTAATATTTGTGTAGGTACCTACCCTTAGATAACAATTTTTATGAGAAAAATGCATGTTTTGGGTTTATTTCATTATAGCTAAAATAAGTGTGCCATGGACGAAACAAGTTGAATATGGATTTAAATTTTAGAGTTATGTGTATTAGTTATGTTGGTTACGACTGTCAGTTGCTATTATTGAATTGTTATTGTTGTATGAATACTGACAATTTAATACAAAAATGCATAATTTTACACTTAATGAAAATTTGATTGGACTAAGTCGGGGACAAAGTATACATTTTATCAAGAAAAAATTCCTTTGCCATGGTTAGAATGTATCAAAAGAAATATCCAGAAATGTACCATCACATAGATATTGTCAAAGATTAGAAGCCACATTACGTGCTAATACAACTGCAGTTATTGGAACATCGAGAACCACAATAAATAATGACATTGAAATAGATATTTTAGCTTATTTTGAAGCAAATCCAGGGGTTTCTAGCCGGCCCGTGTGGTGCAGTTCAGTTGAAACTGGACTGTGGTGCCAAGGGTCCCTGGTTCAAATCTAGGTTCAGGTATGGATATTTGTAAATGTATAGTGGGTTGGGTTGGTAGAGCAGCCTTGGCTGAAACCCCGCCCACTCAAAAATAAAGGCAAATAAATAAATAAAAAAATAAATAAATCTATTGGAATGGCTGCCACTGCGTACCAATGTAGTGTAGGAGAGTACATAAAATTTTAAAAAGGAATAAATACAGAGCGTTTAAACTTAAAAAAGTCAAACATTTACATCTTGGAGACCATGAAAGATGCCTTAAGTTCTGTTATTTGTTGTTAAACGAAGGAAGAGACTTTATAAAATTTTTTTTCTGGACAGATGAATCAAATTTTTAAATATTGACCAATGAATTTTCTTGGAACTATTGTGATTAGTGGTGCAACAGACCATTGCTTCCGCTTCCTTAAGTGCGGAAGTTCCGTCTCCTCTTCTACTATTTTATCCGATGTATACCGGAATGTTTCAAATATGGTAAGATGCGCTGTGCTTCTGTTTCCGCTTCTCCACAAAATCATATTTTGCCTTCTGTTTCCGTTTCTGCTTCCGGCATAACACTTCCGTTCCATCACTAATTGTGATACAACAAGGCCCTTAGAGTTATTTTCAATTTTTATCCCATTTTTCTTTGATTGGTGACGTAATTTACCTTGCTGTAACTGTCTCAAGCGCCACCAGACCACATATCTTCGGACAGCAAAGGAAAATTTGATACACAATTCATATCCAGGCTTTATCAGTGACCGAAATTATTTTCAATGCTGTGGATTAGGTAGTAGGTACCTACCAGTAAGTAGTTCGTAGATATGTTGTAATGGAAAGGGGGGTTTCATTTGTTAGAGTTTAGCATTTATGTAGATTGGTTTATTGTACACTTTGTTATTGTAAGTTTTAAATTTTTTCTGTTAAAATAATACAGTGTGTAAAGCGATGGGGTATACAAGAGGGAATTTTTTTTGGATATTGATTTATGAAAAAAATTTATTCTTCGTGATATTTTTTGCTTGTATTGCTTTGAAAGCACCAATAACGTTTCGATAAACTAAAATTTATTTATAGAAATCTGTAAAAATAATAAAATTAATTTTTTTGATTGACAGTTATCATTCTACATTATAATCAAGATAGCGTATTGCTATCAAACCACAAGCAATCGAAACGTTATTGGTACTTTCAAAGCAAGCAAAAAATATCATGAAGAATAAATTTTTTTCATAAAAAAAATTCCCTCTTGTATACCCCATCGCTTTACACACTGTATAATAGTTTAGAGAGGACAACTTCCCCCCACCTGCTTTTGTGTTCTTTTTACCTCGGGAATAAACTCGTTTCTACACCAATAGTAAGACAAGACACGTTAGCATTCGCTTGATTGTGCTCTGTAGAGATCGTTCAAGAACTAAAAGTGATAGAAATAAATTCTGAATAAAAACATCCACCTTAAAGCATGATGTAAGCTATGAACAGCTCAAACAAAAAATATCCAATGCCATCATTGTTAAAATGGATTGTATATTTGCGTTCGTTCCAAAATTGGTTTTTATTTACTTCCTAAGTATTAATTTTAAATCCTGGCGGTGCCACTTTTTGGTTTAATGTGAGTGACTCTTGTGGTAAAGACCTGTAATTCAAACCAGTCTCATCCACGTTATACACATCATTAAGCGATAGTTGTTTATTCATTAAAAGTTCAGAGAATTATTTCGGCTGCAGCTAGCATATCATTACACATACATTCTCCTTGGATGTCATAATGTATGTCATATTTTTTTTTTTTTTTTTTTGAGTTGGATCCATCGTTCCTCGAAATGGGGGTTGAAATATATTATGTTATCAAAAATCTCTAAACCTTCCCCATATAGTTTTATTCGTTGAAGTTTTTAAAAGTAAAAGCGACTATAGTTTCGGCGTACGGTAAATTAATTTACCGTTTTCCTGTTAACTTTCACAGTAAGTACTAGCTCTTAATGTTTCCAAATTTACTATATTGTGATACACTTCTAGTCGCCTGATGATGGCAGTACGCCGAAACTATAGTCGCTTTTACTTTTAAAAACTTCAACGAATAAAACTATATGGGGAAGGTTTAGAGATTTTTGATAACATAATGTATATGTCATAATATTTTGTGTATTTAAGGCGCAGCGAGTTTGGGGCCTTTTCATTCGTGTATCAGTTTGACTGTATGTGATTTTGTAGCAGTGGGAATGCATATTCCCCCCATCCACCCAACCGTTTGGTCTGTTCTTGGGTAGAACTTGTATAGAACAGCTACCTTACATTTGGATGATGCATGTCTTTATTAAAATGTTGTCTTCATATATGACTCTTCCTAAATGTGCCATTTTATTGAAAGTTGATGTCTTTAATGCTTTGACTGTAATAGTTAATTAAGAAGAGAATGGTAAATACACTTTATAAAGTGAGCCTTGAGTATTCTAACAATAATCTAAAAAACAACTTTTTCAGTCACTTACGGTTCTCCATTCTCATTAATTTAAGCTACATGCAAAACTAATTGGCATGAACACCTTTCATTACAATTATTGTACACAATCAAATTTCAATTTTGCATGTATTGATTACTACTTAGTATGTTCATGTTAGCTCGTAGGGATCCATAAACGTGCATGATATAGAAACAGTGGATTTATCCACTTGCAAGATTATGTAAAATGTTAAAAGTTTCAGTAATTATTTCACTACCTTTTGTTATTTAGGCGCAAGAACGCCATGGGTCTGCCGAAGATCGTATCCAAAGACTTGAAGCTAATTTAGAAGAAAAGAATGCGGAATTAGTAAGATTAAACCAAAGACTAAAAATGAACGAAGACCATAACAGTAGGTTGTCCGCGACTGTGGATAAATTATTATCCGAATCTAATGATAGGCTACAAGTACATCTTAAGGAACGAATGCACGCTTTAGAGGAAAAAAATAGTTTAACTCAGGAGCTCGAAAAGACTAGGAAGATAATGGAAGAATTAGAAATTCAGAAAACCGAAATAATGAAAGAATTAGCGAAATCAAGGTTGGAAATAGACAATGTTAAAAGACAAATGTTGCAACAAGAGATAGCATTTAATATTCAACAAACAGATGCGTTGACCAGAAGTTTATCACCTAACGCAACGGATCCTAATAATTTTACAAGAAGTGCTAGTCATTCCAGTTTCGATACGCATTCCTTACCGCGTAGGGGAAATAAAACGCGAACGCCTGTAGAGGAGGATTCCAATAAAATAGTCGCATTTACTGCAAGATCTATGGCAGAACAAGAGTGGGAGAAATTACAGCAAGCTCATGTACTGGCGAACGTTCAACAAGCATTCGATGTGTCAAGTGATGCAGAGGGTGATGATAACGACAGTTTGTTTAGCACTGCCGATATTTTGTCACCGTCCGGTCATACGGATGCCCAAACGTTAGCAATGATGTTGCAAGAGCAGCTAGATGCCATTAATAACGAAATTAGGTTAATACAAGAAGAAAAACAGAATACGGAGGCGAGGGCAGAGGAACTTGAGTCAAGAGTTGGTAGTATGGAGCACATGAATCTACTTGCGAGGGGGCGCAGTTTAGAACGCCAAAGTCCACCCGTAAGTGGCAGATCGACGCCAAAATCACATCATTCACCACAAAGGGATTATCTTCATAAATATCACACGGTAAGTATTCGATTTTAAATGTGAAAAGAGGTTATGACTGAAATTTTTCAACATTGCCTAATTTTAGTTCATACATAAATTTGTCAGCATAACTCCTTGAGCATGTTTAAAGTTTTAGTGCACGTTAATATGTTTATTACTACACAATAGTGAATGGAATGTTGGGTGTGTGACGTGTGATGTTGTAGGCGCCTGCATCTATGTCTCCAGCACATCTTCAACAGTACCGTACAACTATGAGTTCAGGCTCCATATCTGAATCACTGCCCACTAGTCAGGTTTGTTGGTCATTGAATATATATTGAGCCCCTAAAGTGGTAGTACTTAAAGTAATTATTGTGAGGCAAAGTAATGCTTTAGATTTACAAAAGTAACAAAACTAATTGTAGATGGGCTTACTAACTTAAAAAAAAACTAGTGGTAGGTAGTGAAGTAATATACAGTAGAAGCTATAGAAAATACAACAAGTTTAGTTCACATTTTCAAAATTAAACTTTGCCATTGTAGGGGTTCCTCGTTATGGCTTCGACACATCACACAAGCACACTACTGTCATATTTCACTTAGCTGCATGTCTTTTAATTAACATTTTCGATCGCATCGTTGTATATATTAAGATTTTCTTCTGCAGTTGCAACTTGCACCGGTTAGTTCGGAAATGTCAAGGGACGAACTTCATATGGGTGACAGTAGTAGTGGTGGTGGAGCGTCTCCTCTTACTGCGAGGTCATTAAAACTAGAAAGAGTTGCGCAGGCTCTGGCTCATAGTCAGGAAGAATTGCGCAGGTTAGTGAATGTTATGATCTGATTAACATACTTTTAAACGTTTGTAATTAACATGCATTTTTACAAAAAAATTATTGCGACAATTTACTCTTACTTACATGGGTTCTTGCTTTTTTATGTATAGAAGAACAGGTGCAAGTGGATTACCTCCTGGACCAGTTACTTACAGGTTATTTGCTTGCTTACTGTTAGATTTTACTTATTTTTTTGTTTATTTTTGGTCATATTGCTTAATATAGCTCTGATAAGTAACCTGGAATAAAGTGAACGACATAACTAGCATTTTGATTGTTCTTAATGTGGTCTGAAACTATTTTTTAATAGAAAACCAAGTTTATTTTTACAATTTGGGAAAGCATTTTAAACGCATATTTTCAAAATAATATTTCACAGTGAAAGTGTAGTATCGATCACTGAGTCACTTCAATCAAATTGGACTGGGCCTTCTAATGTGCAGGGTCACCAAACAATTAGGGTAACTATATTCTGGAAAATAATAAAGATAGAGTCTTCAGCAAAAAGTTTGTTACCTAAAATATTGCTATATAAACCTGGGGGGAGGGGTGTGCCCTTTACGTTGAAATAATGCCGACAATAAGGGTATGCCTTCCTGAGTTGCTAAAGCATGCACATAAGTACCGTAGTTTTCGTGTCAAGTTAGGGGAATGGCAAGCAGCACCCCCTGTATTTAATTTTATTCAAAGTGATCAGGAAATATGGTGGAATTTTGTTATAAATAGTCACATAATCGTTGAGTTGTAGTTGTACTTATGCTGTAAAAATTGTTTAAGAATTTAGTAGGTTGTAATTGTTTTTACTCACAATCGATCATTTAAGGTAAAGTATATAATTCAACAAGGTGTTACTTTAACTGTCAATAATAGTGACACCGCCAATGTAACCATTAATGTTTACAACAATAGCAAATAGTTTCGTTCTTCTTCGTAATTTGCTATTGTTGTAAACATTAATGGTTACATTGGCGGTGTCACTATTAGTATAAGTTTCATATAAGGATAATATGAATAGCATTTGCAGGTAAGGAAAGTGACAGATGCTAGCCGGGAAAGTGACAGCTAGCCGGGAAAGTTACTTTCCCGGCTAAGGTGAGTAATGAGTCGCTTCGCAACCGCTATGAAGGTTAGGAATTCAGATAATACTAACCGATTGTGAGTAAAATAGTATACAAACCTCGCTGGTCAGTGGTTCATAACCAACGCCTCGCGCTTATACCTCGGGGTAGGTAATGAACCACCTCCCAGCTCGGTATGTAATCTACTATTGTTTTGTACCTAAAGACGTAGAAATTAAGTAACATATGGGTAAAGAATTTATACGTCTATACGAAAATTAGTTGATAAGGGGACTTTATCAAAGTAAAATTTAATTTTTTACTGATGATGAAAAACACGTTGAAGATGGTCAGGACTTAAAAAACTTTGCGTGTCGCATGGTGACGCGGTCTCGGGTTAATTGACTTAGCGTACGTGTCCCGTTGCGTGTAAATTTCAGTTACTCATTTTCCCGGCAGTCAGTCGGTGTTTCAAAGTTTTCCTCTGGCATTTAAATTTAAGAAGAGATCATGTCTTCTTAAAATAGGAGATATTTCCTCAGTTTTAAAGTTTGTATCCGAGCTGCCATTTCAAAAATGTCGATCGTCATAGAACCAGTGCTGGTGATTTTAAAAAAAGAAGAAAGCATGTGTACACAGTGTTGTCTTTATTTTAAAATAATTATGTGAAAAGTGTTTTGTTTTCGTCATCTATCACATCAGTATAGGCAGTTTCAGATCAAACAAAAACCTGTAGAAAATAACTGCTGTATGCAATGACACGAATTCATTACACTACTCACATAACACTTACCTATAATAAATAGCTAGCTCAAATTTACACAAATTGGCGCTCAACGTGGAACGTGCAACAATTATCTATAGGGCTAGCTATTTCTTGTGTCCAATAAAGTCCTATTATTATTATGGTCGGTGTTTCTTGTCAGAACTCAGGTCTAGCCTGGTTAACTAATCGCACGGATTAAAATCAAGTAACGATTAGTGTCTGTGTCTGTACGTCGTATTATTATTATTAGTTTTGATAGGTAAGTGTTATTTGAGTGGTGTAATACTTGTACAAATCACATGTGAATTTACAACGCATAAATGTCTTGTATGGTACAAGAGACAAGTTGGTCTTGCAAGTATTCAAATTTTCTCTCAAATTTGAGAATTTATATGTGGACTATGGTATAAACAAATATTCGTTGCAATTTAAGGCTCCTGAGCAGCTGATCAAATACTTATGCAGCCAAAAAACGTCGTCTCCAGTTAGGTAGGTAATGATGAGACCTCCTTTTTCTTGAGAATACTATTTTGAGACCTTTTCCTGTATCTATAAGGTCAAGTACAAAATATGTCGAGACAAGATGTGTCAAGATGCAATACATTCCTTACCCACATCTTTCTTAACTTCTATATCTTAAATTACAAAGAAGAACGATCACAATCTACTAAATTCTTGAAAAATGTTTCCAGCATAAGTACACCTACAACTAAAATTTAATAAAACTGCACAATTATCTGCCTATTTGTAACAAAATCCCACCTGATTTGCTGATCACATTGAATAAAATTAAATACAGGGTGTGCCGCTTTCCATTCCCATAAGTTGAAACTTATGCAACCCAAGAAGGCATAATCTTATTGTCAGCATTATTTTTAAATAGCCGTTGACGCACGCGTTATCCACAAGATAGAGCATAGCAGCATTTTTTCTATTTCTCTTGTTTTATCACTTAACATTTTAATATTCATGTTACGTTCCAAAGCGATCACATGAAAGTAACACTAATTTCTAACATTTTGTCATTGCTAAATTTCACTTTCAAGCTTTATCTCACTTATTTCTCGAGATATACTTACCATTTTTATTTAAAAACCGCACTCACCTGTTGTCTGAGGCTGGTTAGCGTTTTCTGCAACAAAACATCACTGACTATTTTAGGTGTGATTTTACACAAATGACCAAAAAAGGTAAAGAGAAAAAACTAATAATCGATACATACCTCTTTGGTTTCTTTAATTTTTTGGGATTTGGGTGTTTGTTGTATTTTTTTATTTGTTCAATTTTTATCAAAACTCAAAATATGTAATTGTCATAAATTATTACATGCATGCTAGTTATGTTATTTGCTTTATTTTTTAAAGTTGAAACTGATTTGACGATCTTAAAACTTTAGTATAAGTTTTTTCCTAAATAGAAGAGTTGAGATTATTCTCTTAAAATACTCCAATGATTTGCGTATTTTGCAAGAAAAACTATTGTTATGTGGCAATAGTTCTATTCCTAGAAATTATTTGCTTTCTTTAATTTTTGATGCTCTAGCCGATTTTTTTAAAGATAAACTAGACTGTTTTAAAAACTTTAATTTCATTACCATATGTTTTGCTTATTTTTATCAAAGGCATGAGCTCTCTTTTCTCAAGGGTGTATAGATACAACATATTTCAAAAATACATATAGTCAAACATTTCCAACCTAAAAAATTCCAAACAAAATATACAGATTCGGTAACCAGAGTCCATTTGGAAAACGAAAAAAAATGTCCGGGTAAGTGCCTAAGTGTGCATAATTATTTACAACCAGTTGTAATTTCAAAAATTCAAGAGATCTACCATAAGCACAGAAGTCAGCTACCGGAAAACAAAGAAAATTCCATCTAAAATTCCACTTGACGAGTTTCATGTGTTATTAAACTAGGGAGATTTTGTTAAGGGAAAAATCTCAATGGTCATACATTATCGCACAAAATTGAGTTAAAGATGCACAGAGCTTTTAAATGCATGTTTATCTTGTATAGTATAGACTCTAGAGTAGTAGAGCGTAGTGTGTTTAGGCAAGGCCAGACACACACACCACCATCACCTCTATCCTCTCGTCATAGCAGTCAAGACAGCCTTCACAAGAACACAATTACGGGAATTCCAAGAGACGTGTCCGCAGCAGCTGTAGCTGCCGCCGCCGCCGCTCAAAAGAAGAAAGGCATCAAATCATCCCTCGGTAGATTCTTTAGTAAAAAAGAGAAGGTAAGAATAACATATGATTTTGAGCTTAATGTTTTACTGACATCTCAATTATGATAGTTCACTTTTGCTACAATGTCTGTTATCGTTGCAGGTGAAAGGTAAAGAAGTAATGGGCGGCGAAAGTGCTTTAAATATAAACCAAAGTGGAATGGGTATTCCCGACGGTGATATAGTCGATTCCATTAGTCTTTCCGGGAAGTTGGGTCAGAAAGGAGAATTTGATCGTAGACAAAAGAAGAAGTGGGTGTATGCTATTTTCTTTTCATTCCTTGTGTATAATTTATCTCTAAAAAATGTTTCAAATAGAGCAAACATTTAAAGTTGAGTAATTTGAAATGTTTATTTTTTAAATTATTATTAAATATCGCCAATTCAGCTGTGGATTTTGCTAGGAGTAAAAAATAAGAAGAGAGAATATAACGGTGATGGCAAATAGTAGCATAGCACGCGACAGATGTCAGTTTTGTTTTATTACCCTACTACCAATGATGACGCTCTTCCCCCTCCCCTCCCTCTTATAACTTCCTTTTTATCCATTACCGTTTCGTGCTCTTTTAATGCAAGGTTCTCTTTATTTTTTACTCCTAGGGATTTTGGTTTTAGTTGACATTCACACTGAATCTTAGATCAGAACCAATTCCATTTGTAATTGCTACTCCTTGCAAATGGCTGGGTTTGTGTTTGTTGCACATGTTTGTTTGTTCTTTGTATGAACTCTAAAGGGCATTTAATAATTGTTCTGGTAGTCTAGTAGTAACAAAAAATAAGCACTTGCGAAAAAAAAACAATTTAAAAACAACTGAATTTAATTTGTAAAACTAGATACAAATTTGAGTATCAGCAAGCAGCAAGTTAAAAAGTGAAAGATTTACCGCTAACATGTAAGAATTTATGCAATGTTAGACAAGCCATATATGTACATATATTTGTGACAGCTGTCAAATACAGATTATCTCGCCAGAACAATTTGTGAACGCTCGTTAATAATTCTGCAACTAATGTACTATATCATTTTAGGGAACGTGACTATAGACACGAACTATTAGCGGAAGCTATGAAAGCTGGAACCCCATTTGCCTTATGGAATGGTCCTACTATTGTAGCTTGGTTGGAACTTTGGGTAGGAATGCCGGCTTGGTATGTGGCAGCCTGCCGTGCAAACGTAAAATCCGGTGCCATAATGAGTGCGCTTAGTGATACAGAAATACAAAGAGAAATCGGAATCAGTAATCCACTCCATAGATTAAAACTTAGATTAGCAATTCAAGAAATGGTATCGTTAACGTCACCGTCTGCCCCGAAAACGTCGAGGACTACGTTAGCTTTTGGTGATATGAACCATGAATGGATTGGAAATTCATGGTTACCAGCATTAGGGCTTCCGCAATATCGTACCACATTTATGGAATGCCTGGTAGATGCCAGGATGCTTGATCATCTTACGAAAAAGGATTTACGAGGACAATTGAAAATGGTTGATAGTTTTCATAGGTGCGTCTTGTAATTATCTCAGTTGTGCTGATATCATAATTTGCTGTTCTTATAAAAAGGAAATCAATAACTTACATTAGCACTTTTTTAGTCACTTCAGTAATTTATGAAATTCTTATGTTGCTCATTTAGTAAACATTCATTGGACGCATGTCTTTTTTTGTATCATAAGAGAAAAATAAAATATTGTTTTTACAGGACTAGTCTACAATATGGCATATCATGTTTGAAACGGTTGAATTACGATAGACATTTATTAGATGACAGAAGAAAGAATGCGGAGAATTCTAACTCAGATGTTTTAGTATGGAGTAATGATAGGCTAATTCGTTGGGTAACTAGTATTGGTTTAAAGGTAAACGTTGCACCTTTGACAATTGTCTTAATACTGACCTATATTTTTAGGAATATAGTAATAATTTATTAGAATCTGGTGTTCATGGTGCACTATTTGCTTTAGACGATAGTTTTGATGCAAATAGTATGGCTCTTGCCTTACAAATTCCAACTCAAAATATTCAGGTGAGAGTAACATTTCTTAATTATTTAGTGCATAAGGGGTGAGATGAGATTATCCGTCATCATTTAGAATAAATGGAGCAATTATATAGTTATCATCAGGGAGAACTTACGATATAATTTGAAATTGAGCTATAACTGATTACTAGGAGCATTCCGCTTATGAAAGGGTGGCATAAACATTTGGAAAGCTAGATTAATAAGCTTATGATGTAGCAATGTTGATGAAAATATTTTGTGATGAGGCTGCTGAATAGCTTTTGCATTAGAAGAGAAGTGGCAGACTGTTGTTTCGAAATGGTGTCTTACAAACGGATTTTTACTCGAAGGGTGCTATATAATATAGGATTGCCATTTGTTACATTACAGAGTATGTTCGCCGTATAATAGTGTGGGGGGGGGGGAGTTGTGACTTCACTCACTATTAAAGATGGAACCGAAGCTCTCATGTTTAAACTGTTTGAGATGATCATGCTTCTATTTGAAATTATTTCACATATTTTGAGGTTATCAATTTTTTTGACACATGAACTTTTGAGTGCGACCGGAGAAAAAACCCTGTCAAACGGTTCATATTTTACAAAATTAAGATTTATTTCTCACGTAATGCAATACTCGGCCGTTGGTGCGCAGTTCAGTTGAAGGTGGGCTGCAGTCACGAACTTATTAGTTCGTGGCTGCAGTACTAAGGGTCCCTCGTCTCCGGTTTGAATCTGGGTTCGGGCAGGGATATTTGTAAATGTATAGTGGGTTGGGTTGGTAGAATAGCCTTGGCTGAAACTCCGCTCCCTTAAAAATAATGGCATAAATAAAATAAAATAGTTCTAAGGAATCAAACCATTTGTACTGTGTTTTTGTCACTTACTTTTTTGTTATCTTTGACGTTCTGTTAATTTAATGGTATCTAAATTTAAAGTGCAGCACATTAGCTAGCCAAGCGTTAGGCAAGGTTTTTCGATTTTATTTTCTAATTTGACTGCATACATGTTTAAAGAGAAAGAAATAAGCTTTCGAATGACATATCACTTTTTACCCAAAATCGTACTTTAATATAAAATTTCAATTTGTTCAAATTTATTTTTTATTTTGAAGCGTTCAAAAACGCGCGTAATTCAGGCGTACCTATGCTGCCAAATCTGTTCCAATTTTTAATCCCAGCATTGTTTGAAATTTTGAATAAATGCACCAAAGGATAGAAGATTTAAATACCTTTGAGATTTCCTGCAATATGCCAGCATTATTGGTGCATTTAAGACCGTTGTAAGTAACCATTCATCCACGAAAACAACTTTTCATATTCTTTCTAATAGGCTTTTCCTGGATTTGGATATTACACCTTCCCACTTTTCTTTAGATTTTACAACAAGCCATTTAATGGACGGTGTATTATCTTTTTCAACCGAAATCGTTTTATTGACAAAGACGGTGATTTTTATAAGCAAATGCCAAGTGACATTTCCATGGCAATCGTGAAATTACGAACACCCTGGCCACTTAATTAGACATGTATTCAAGTATAACCTCAAAATGATTTCATTGTATTTCCCTTATTTTTAAATTATATTGCAGGTATAATAAAAAATACTATAAGAAACATGTGTATAATTGGTCTTTAAAGCACTTGCAACGTTTAAAGGCACTCCGCTTCGTGTCGTGCGTTTAAACTCTGATTAGAGCCATGATCACTTGACACTTTGTCTCTTAATATACTATTTTAATCTCAAATCAAAATATGTGAAGTATTTTCAAATGGAAGGTTCTAATTTTCATGTTTATATCTCAAACGGTTTGAGTGTGAGAGCTTGGTCCCATCTTTAACACACGACTACTCGCGTGCCCAGGAACATTTAAACTGCCAGTGTGTTACATTTAATGCTTCCTACCCCCTTCTAAATATTTTCTGTTATAACATTTAGGGCCGGTATTTCCATCTTCGGATAAAGTACTAGATTCGTAACTGCAAAATAACTTATACCGCCCGATATCTTCCGTTTATTTATCTGCGGGTATTTCCATCAGCGTGCGGTATAAATATATCCCGTAGATAGCTACCTAACCATAGCCAATGTTGCCGATTTTAGAAGTCTGTAATAGAAAAAAATAGCGAACGGCAGGGCCATATATTAGAGCAAGATAGCTTACTACCTGACAATTTGAACGAATGCTTTTGTTTTGGAAAGAAATTCAGTGACTTGTAATATACTTGTCAAACGTAAATTACAGAATAAGATTTACTTATGAGTACTCTACTCTGAACATGAACCAAACTCGTGATGTAAATGCACCGCGTAGAAAAAAAAGAACTGCTAATTTCAGCACATCTGAAAATCGTGTGCTTTTGTCAAAAAATCTTGATCCATTTGGAATCTAAAATAGGTTACCTATCCTTCAAGAAAACATAATATGTATTTGCGTACTTCTACTTATATACTTCAATTTCTTTCTTCCTATTTAGTATAGGTACGGTTAGTAATTTTGCAAATTTTTAAAACGTCACCAGTTTACTAGAAATTTGACGCCATATCCTTGGGTTATGTCGATAACTGCAGAAAATCTACCCAATAACTTTATCTAGAACTTATCCTGCAGATAATATTTAAACGAGGTTCGAAATACCCGAAGCGACGCTAACTGTCAGTTTACCTGGAAGATATCTTATACTTGACTTTATCCCGAGATGGAAATACCGGCCCTTAGTAATACGTTGGTCCTTTTTAAAAAAAATAGCCTTTAATGAGGGTACAAATCGTAACCCACGCGACGCTTTAACGCTTTGACCTGCAGAATCCAAATCGACTTGATTTTTGAAGTTTGGACGTGTAGGTCAGAAATTATAGCCTTTTCTTTTATGATTGAATGATTTCTGACTTCCAGTTAATTTACGTTTTTAGAAGGATATGTTTATTTTGTCGACTTTTTGTAACCAATTAAATGACATTACAAGGAAACAAATCTGTAAATACATTGGTAGTACTTAATCATTTTTTCGTTTGTTTCAATCAAAATTATCCACGCGACTAAACAGGTGACATATCCTAACGCGAGCACTGGAGTGTTAATATAGTGACCCTGTATTTAATTCTCGTTTGCAGTAACATATCCATTCCTTATGTATGAAATCATTGGTTTTAGGAAAGTTAAATTGGGTTGAACAAGGCGCGTAGGAATAGTATTCAACTATTGAACAAAATAACTTATCAGATGTGGATGTGGATCATTACAAAATACCGAAATACTGTGAACTGTGTGAAAAAAATTAATGTTATGTTATATAAAATGTTCATAAGAATTACATGGTAACACGCGCAGGTTTCACCCGCACCGTCCGTCAGTTCTCTGTCTGTTTTTCGTAATATATACACATGCGCGAACCCTGGTTTCACTTCTTTCTAAAAAACTCCTCTTAACAAGTTATGAATTTATGATAAATGATTCCCACGTTCGTAATTTTGGTGGAAGGAGGATTATTATGGTCAAACACTTCACATTGACGTCCTGACATTTTTGTTGCATTGTAGAATGTACACTTGAAATCCACAAACATTTACAACTCGGCAGATTATAACAGTGCACTCTAACAGCCAGGTTCGTTGGTGACGTCACATATGACTTAACGCGAGCAACATTACCAGCATAGGAATCTGGCTATCCTATCCTACACTCAGATTCATCAAGATAATACTAATACTAATAATACTAATACTGTTGTTACTTCAAAACACTGTAGCTTTTCCAAAGGCACTTCTGGCTGCAACTAGTAGCCTTTTAAGAAGTATTGCTCCTCTGTGGAGGTTCCTTTTGCAGGTGGTAACTTGCTGGCGCTCCCCCTTTGCTACGTCATTGGTTCTCTGGTTCTAGCAAAAATTGTAAAATCAAAGAAAATTAATTGGTGATGTACTTAAACTAACATGGTAAATCACCCCCGAGTTATGAGTTGAAGTATTTTACATTTACATTGAAGATGTTTTTACTGGCGACAGTAGAAGCTCACCAGCTTAGCGTTAGGCAAACCCTATAACTACTTCTTGACATTGTAAAAATCGCTACCTTACAGGTAGTGTAAATTTTACTTGTTTCTCACCTCCAAGTCCAACTAGGAGCAGCAGAAAGACAATTAAAGGTAGACTTTTAATGTAACCAGTTACAACAATTTTTGCTTACCAAATGAAATAGTGATGGGTCGCATAATCTAATTAACATAGGCACATTTAAATTGTGGTTAATGTCCGATAGTCTCACAATTTACCTCATGCTCTGTAGACTAGAAAGACACAAAATATCTCTCTTTTCCAAGGTATTCGCCGGTGTGTAGCGAAATAGTTTATAGTATTTAATTTTTTCAGGCAAGACAAACATTGGAAGTTGAATTCAATGGCCTGCTACGAACAGCGACAGATCGACGACCAGACGATATTTCTCGTTCCTGATACGATCGTATGAATTGTTAAACGACCATGTAGTGTTCCACTACAGATTAGTGCAACCCGTGCTATTTCCTTCTCTTCTCGACATAAGCAAAAAGTTTTGTTTTGTAAATAATTCTGACTTTATATGAAAATAACAGAAAGCTTTAATGAACTTATCTGTACCATAAATAACTGATAGTATTATTAATTGTACATTGAAGTTGTTGTTTTATCTGTTGGATTACCAGCGATTATATTGTTACGATGTGTGAATGTGGCAGCGATAGTCAGTATTACCCCGCGCGTGCCTACACTCAGTGCTGCCATCTGTTAAGCTTCAGAATTTCATTTGCAATTAGCTAGTACAAATACTGGTGTCCTTGTAAGGCTTACGGATGTGGACAGTTTGTATTTAACCTGTACTTAACTGGTACACATCTTAAGTAGCAAATTCCTCAATAATATTTATTTTCTTTAATCTAACGCCATAGGTACCAATAGAAAAATACCGTTGCAGTAATTAATTTATTAATTCTGTATATATTATACAGAGTAAGTAACATTTGAAGTTTTTATTATAATTAGTATGTTTTATACAATATTTGTACAATATTTTTACTTGTTATTTATTTTTAACCTGAAAATACTATTGTGCTTAAATCTTGTTATACTAATCGGAGTTATACTATATACTCCGGAGATGATTGTCATTATTCGTATATGATCTAAAATAGTGTTAATTTATGTACATTACATTATATATAAATATAACGAAACTCGATCATTTATTGTAGCCTCTGTTTTTTAACAGCTATTCTTTTTAACTTGTGTTTTCTTTCAGGCGTTTTAGCGTACTTTATCAAATGACAAAACTAGCTATCTTGGACAATTTTTCAAGTTATTTCTTACTAGAGAGCACGATACACTCACACCGGTATGCCAGTGCGCATGGTGTGACGTGGCATAATTTTGTAATGAAGAATATATACTTGCAGCGAGTTTTGCTTGCAAAATATCCCGGTGGTCAATTTTCAATCCTACCCTCACTTTGTTAATCACGCAGCTACTGATTGCACTAGTCAGTTTCTTACATTGATTGGTGTATTGCAATGGAGACTTACGTTCCATTCTCCAATCCGCACAGCGGACACTTGTCTGCCTGGCATATACTTTAAAAGTGACTGAACACATTTTTTTCTTTCTTCATGAAATTTTTCAAAATCGAAATTCTCTTTTTTGTTTTCATTTATTTGTTGTTTTGATTCAAATGTTTGAATATGCGTGAAGTATCAGCATAAAACAAACCTTGCCCCATGGTAGAAGCTTTTTATAGACCTATGAGTAACAAATAAGAGAGAACTTTGCATTTAGAGAGTACGCGAAGGAAATGGATAAAACGGAGGTTATAAGAGTGGGGGGGAAACGAGTCATGGTCCGTATAGTAAACGCGCCTCTCTTCCAAACAACCAATAAAACGCGCTGCCAATTGTGACGTACTTCAGCCCTCAGTAAGCACCGCCCACCACACAATTCTCATGTATAAGCATTTGGTAATAATTCTAATAGCAAAAAGAGTTAATTTTTGTATATTTGTGTTTGTTATTGTAATGATATTTTAAGCAACAATCGGGAGTAGTTCATTTCTTTGAGATTTCCACAGTACGGTCCCAGTTTAATTTATAGGTAACCAATAATTCAATACCTTGACAGAAAATAATACATAACACATTAATAAGAAATGTAGCATATGAGGGTGAGAGACGCATACAATACAACTTTGTACAATGGCCGTGGTACAAACGTCAAGCATACAGAAACCTCAGAAAATTCTGCGGCGGGCGAGAGTACGTCACAAGCGGGAAGTTCCCCTCTCTCTCCGCGCCTACAAACTGCAGTAACTGAGGCAACCGTTTAGTATACGGACCGGGCCGTGGAAACGAGTCACCCTTGGCAGTGGCGTAATAAATAAATCTTCTGTTTTATCATTAGTCAAGTCAACATAACTGACCAGCGCAAAGGAGGTAATATAATGGCGACTTCCCTCGCATGGTAGACTATTTCCCACCAGTGTTACATTCTCACCTCTTATTTTTTGCATTGTAGACAGTACATGTTTATTATTTGCCTTGACTTGATCTACTGTAGGTTGCCTATCAACAACACATAATTTTTGAACTTGATTCATTGTTCCACTAAATGGGACTTACAAAATTTAAGTTTAATTAATTTATAGTTCTGATGATGATGGCGATTATCGCCGAAACTATAGTCGTGTTTATGGGGAAAGCTTTGAGATCCGATTTTCTTAATCTTTGAAAATAGCACATAATTTGATGGTTGGGAACGTTTAGGCTATGTTCAGACAGAGTGATAATCGCGCGATTCGCATCAGGATCATACATAAAAATGTTCCCAATCGTTCAGACACAATCGCCTCAGACCAGCGTGAGAATCGCTGTGTCTGAACGCTCCCAATTGTCCATTCGCGCGCTGGATAGCTTCATGTCCATCGATTTAAAAGAGAAGGGATGGACTGATTACATAAAATGTTGCAGGTAAATTGCAAGTGTATGGTCTGTTGCTTGTCTGTTTGTATTAATTCGCTAAATTATATTGGAGATTATTGTCATTGTTATAACTTATAATAGCCACACTAAAGGCTACACAGTACATGTATGTCAGAACATAAGGAAAAAAGTGCTTTAGGTATTTGTCTGACAAGGACCACAGTTTAGACTGTGTGTCTGATTTGTGGTCCGATTAGACTAGACTACCGACTAGAATACTAGACTGTACAAGAATAGGGGCAAGGGCCTCTTTAGGCAGGAACAGTACTGGCACAGATAATACGTATAGGTACCTGTGGTACTGGTGTAGCTTTATTCGTTTACACTTTTACAGAGTATGGCTACGATTCTGTTTTCTGAGTTGCCCTCGAACTCCGGAGATGGCGTTGTCAAATATTTTGAATTTGGCGCTTTATTCTAAATAAGCTTTTTTAGGACGTCGTTTTCAGTGCTCTTGTCGTTTGAATGGCAGAGCATTTAATGTATTTAACGATTGTAATGATTTGCTTTGCCACTTGTACTGATATTTGTAAAGATGATTAAAAGGTTTTTTTTAAATTTTTATCTAGCATTGGACTAAATGCAGAATTCAAAATGTTTTTCCCTAAACGTTTCAAATACAGCTAATTATTGTCATGAGCGACTACGGAACTACGTAATGATTTACAATCATATCGTCAAGTATGAACAACATAAGTGAAATTATGTTCAGGATACATTTTAATTAAAAACTATACCTACTCTGAGAGTGCTGATACCGTTGACAGCGCGACCGAGAGGTTTATTTTGCTTATACATATTGACCTCTATAGTATGAAATACCAACATTGGTCATTATTATTAATTAAATTATTATTATTAATCAGTGAGGAGGGGAAATATCTCCCAGATCAAAAAGCTAACCCAGTTCATTCCTATGTGTAGGTGATGTTGGCAGTTTTCCTTGATGCCTATGCTGTAAACAACTACGAGCTTAGAGAAGGAAAGGGAGATGATCGTAAAATTTTATCTCTGTTTGTCACCAATAACATGTCCGCATACAGTCCTTTTTCGTAGGATTAAAGCAGCAACCCTACCGTACCACGTTCACAAAATATAACAATAAAGTCAATTGATATGCTTACAGATCACATACCGTTGAAAATGCAAACATTTACTGCACGGCATAGATAAGAAGTAAGAAATCTTTGTTTGCCACCAAACTATGCGAAAATTTGTTTCAATGCGCAACACTGCATTTGATTATTGGGAGTTACGGGGCCCCTAATTCCATAGCCTAACTAATGCCCAGTTTCACAGATTAATTAAAAATATTAGAATGCTAGCAGATGATTTCCATTCTAATATTTTCAATCAGTGATTAACCTTAATCATCATTTTGTAAAATCGGACATAAGAGCACGAGAACCTACCCTAAAGCTAAATGTGAAGGCGTCGATATTCCTTTCACGACCTTTGATTATAAAATATTCAAAGATTGACAACGCCCTACCGTTACCCCATTCCGCAGTTATAAAGTTGGTTTTGACAAAAAACTGGATTGCTGCCCCCTTCCCCCAATTCTATTCAACTGACCTCACATCTCCTGGCTTCCTCTTATGAACTCAACCATCAGATCTTTCAACGGAAGGAAATTTGAGACGATTCCAGGGAATAAGGCAAATACGACAAAGGAGCGAAGGACGTTGTAAACGTTCCAGGGCTGTTTCTAAATGTGAAAACGCAGTTGGGATAAGTGTGTATGTCCGGAAAATGACTACTTTGAAAGGGACTCCGACATGTAAATGAATTGCAACTACATAGATTAATAAAACGTATTTTATTAAGTTTTCTTTACATATTTAAGCACATTACAAATTTAGGGACAGAACTAACCAACAAAAGTTCGTATCTGCAGAAATAAAATTACCTTGTGTGTTTAAGAATGTCTATCATAGGGATCTCGGAATCCGTAGAATCAATTAAAACTAAAGAGATACTTACTATCATGCTGTAAAGATATGTCAGAAAAACCGAAATTTGCCGATTTTGTTTTAATCTTTTTCTGATGTTATTTGAACAGATAGGTACTAAAAAATAAAAATCCACTTTCTCACTAGGTATATTTAGTAGCATTGTTTATAACTATACAATGATGTACCTATTTACGGCAGACAAAAAACAAAAGTTGGAAACTGTTGGTTTCAACAGGACGGTGCACCCGCGCACAACACGCTGATCGTGTGAGAATTACCTATCTGCGGTGATATATTTTCCATTTCCCAGGAAATTTATTAGATAGGTAGGTTTCTCGCTCGCACGAGAAGGGTATTGTGCGACGCACTTGGGTTGCTCGGGCATATAGCTTGGGAAAATAAAAACCAATTAGTGGAATTATTATTTGAGTATTTTAATTAAGTATATTAATACACAAGGTATGTTAATTTATTAAGCGGTAGTCGGCGGTAGAAAACGGCGAAACGGCGGTACAGGGAACGGATGGACGGACGGACGGGCTCGAGCGCCACCAGACGAAAATCTCGCGCCTGGACGATGTCGGCCGTAATCACGGATGGACGGGCCGGTTTCTGTAGCCTCGGAGGTAGTCTCAATCGAAGATGTTAATTCCAAGAATTCGGCGGTCAGGTCCAGCAAATGGTGGCGGTAGTGTCTGGAACTCGAAAACAAAATATGGCCTACCGGTAAATTCCCTAGCGGAAGAAAAAAGTGGCGGTTTTTATAGCGGGCAAATTCGGGACAACAGGTAAAAACAATTCCCCCTTATGTAATTTAAAAAAACGGCTTACATTGGGAAATTAAACCGAGGTAAGAAAAGGCAAATACAAAGGCACGCAAAAATTGCAAAGGCTATTACGTGCTTAACGGTCGGTAGGACGCAAAAAGATCTAAGTTGCGGTACGCAAAATGGCAAACACAGATTTACGGACTTAAGGTGGGTTCATAGTTCTCCGTTCATCGGTTGCGTTGATCCATCAAATGGATAGTGCAATTTGTTAAGGTTCATAGCAATCTGTCCATATCGGACGTTTACAAGGTATAACCATAACCTAAATTTGATTTTGTACTATACCCACCGTGATCTTCAGTACGTAGAAACTACTATCAGATTATCACCGCGAAGAACTTAATAGGCGAACACTGTTAAATTTGCTCTTAAGCGTCAGCAATATAACAAACATAACCTTACTCTTTTTAAAAAACGGACCAACGGAAAAGTAAATGTTCAACCAACTTTTCCGTTGAAAATGGACGACGTACGGTTTAAAAATTTACTGCGTTCTGATTGGCTAACGGACAAACGGAAACGTATGAACGGAGAGTTATGAACCCACCTTTACTTCCGGCAAGTGAGATCCTTCCAAAATTGAGCGTTTTCCTTATAAAGAAAACCCAATTTGGTAGAAGTGGAACAGGGAAAATCCAACTCGCCGCACATTCAATACGAAATCGAAACCAATCAGTTCGATTTTTAATTAATTACTCGGCTCCTGTTTGTGCTACAATTCCCGAACAGCTGGCAATCAATTCGTTAATTAATCGCGCAAAATTTGACACCAAAATCTCCTCTGTATGTGCTTCTTTACTGTAACTCATTTAATTAGTGTATGATAATTATATATACTCAAAAGGCCAAACGATAGCTCATGAACTCTTTACATGAATTAACTTTATGTTAATTACACGTTTTCGGCCACAAAGGCGTCTGGCGATTATCTCATTCTTGCAGGCACGCCGCCAACTGATAACGGGCAAAACAACTCGCTTCGGAACTCGTCCTATCCTTGCTTTTACTTATTATGGGGAACTGAAACGGCCTATAAACAATTAACAGCGCCGAAACCAAAAAATATTAATTGTCCTTCATCTTCTCCAGGACAAGATCCTTCGGTGGTTACAAAAATGATTCCAAAACGATCGTAGGCGGCCTAATTAATTACGGCCTCTCCTGGTCTCTATGGCCCCGCGGAAAGTTCTTGAAATTACGGTTTTCTATGTAACGAAGCTCAAACCAATCGTCGTTCCTAGTGCTTCGGTACAATTGTGCGACGGTGCACCACTCTGTTGAAACCCACAGTTTCCATTGTTTGTTTCTTTTTGTCTGTAGTGCATCGTAGTATTCGTAATAAAGATGCTACTCATTACAGTTTGTACTTTTTTAAGGGCCATATAAAAAAAAGGGTGATGATGATGTCTCCAAAATGAAACGTTGTATTGAAAACGCTGTCTTGTAGAGTTCAAATCGTGGCAATGAGAAGGTGTATTAATTTTATTTTGTTGTATCTGTTCAAGTAACATCAATAAGACAAAATGTAATTTATTTAGAAGTAACATGACGGGTAATATGTAATTCCCCATGTGATAGATTTATTGAATCAAGAACAATAATTTAGCCTGGGAGATTAAGTAAAAAGTTCGCACTTAAAAAAAAAGCTGCGAACCCTGCGTGACCCTTTCTCTTAGGAGTTCCGACGTGGCTCCACGCTTATTTGCCACTGGAATCCCCGACAGGGGGGGAGGGGGAGAGTTGTCTCCCCCCTTGCCTTTCTACAAGCGTTTTTCTACGAGTCCTCGTTTGTTATCAGATTGTCAGATGTCAAAGATTAAAAGCTACCTTTTTTTTTTAAATTTGGAACTCCTAACTTACCGTATGTATGAAATGAAACAAAATATGAATGAGAATTATTTTACCGGGCATCAGGTTGCGTCGATCGCTGGTGTACAGTATGGTCATTGTATATGTATTACTAGCCACAGTATATCCCCTAGCTGGGAAGAGGTGGAAGTCGCTTGGCTAGGCTAGATCTGAGCTGTATGGAGGGTGATCCTTTCTCCCATCCAAAATCATCCAAGAGCTGCTGTCCAGTACGGTTGACTGTGTACGGGCGGGCTTTGTTTTGTCGTCGAACAGCAAAACTTCCACCTCTTCCCAGCGATGAAAACCTGGCTCGCAACGCAGCGGTTCGATAGGGACGCCGAACTTCATGTCAGCGTTACCCGGTGCAGGTTAAAATCTCAGGCGGCGGATTTTTAAAGTTGGAATCGAAACTTTTGTGCCACGCTATGATAAGTGCCTCAATTTGAATGGTCCGTGTGTTGATAAATAGCCCAAGAGTGTAGCCCCCAAATGTATACAATAATTAGATTTTCTTTACAAGTTTACAATTTTGGATTTCAAAACGTCTGCTACTTTCTGGACAACACTCGTATGTTTATTTAATTTATAAATTGTAACATTTCTTTTCCTTAATGGCGTTTACAAAAAGTGTAAAAGTTGCCTTGCGATTTCCTCAATAACTTTGTTTCGAGGTAAAAAAAATGAACTTCTGTTAACGACCGATGGTTGCTAAAGGTTTAAGCTCGTGAATGAAGTTAAATTTGATAACAAATTATTATCAGTGTGGTAAAAATGAAAGATATGTATTTTATATGGAACTTTTAAGAACTTCTTTCTTAAATAACGGCGAAAGTATAAGAATTAGCTAAATAATTTTTGTTTCATGCAAATCTCGGAACATTATATATTTGAATGAATGTTATTTCAACCAAAAATTCGTACCCAGAAGGAAGTTATTGTGGAAACAAATTTCCAAGATTTCAATGTAAACGCCACCTTAATCAATATTGTTACAATTTATTGAATTTATACATTATGCATCTTACGAGGGATAAGTAGCACGTACTGATTATTATCGTATTTTTTTAAAATTAATAAAAGTGGCCGTCTGTCCGTACACAGACATTATTAATTATTGTAGTAAATGTTTAGATCTGTGGTACCTAGTAGTCTTATTGTGCTCTGGTTTACAATCTTTTATGCATTTGACAGCACAGCACAAAACTCCACACCACACGGACGTCCCGCTCTGGAATGGAATGGAATGCAATGATAAATTTAGAACTTTAGAAGTGACAATTGATGGCATTGGTGCGCAGAATCTAATTACTGGTTTAGATAGCACATTTACAATGCACGCACTGCATGGAAAGTATTGTATTGACATACAAAATTGAATTACAACTTAGAACGTAAATAAGTTTAGTCTGTGATAAACTACACGACAATTGTAACTATAAAAGTACTTATAATTATCGTAATTTATAATAATAATTAAATTCTTTACGTTAAAACATGGTACGTGCGTGGTATATGAGTAACGATGTTGAAGATCAGCGCTTAGAAAACCACCTAACTCCTCAAAAGATGGTATCTTTAGATGAAGTAAAACGACTTACTGGTGTAGAGTATTTTGGTGTAAGTATTATGGCAGTTGAATAAGTAGAATTGAAAGTAAGTAATGTTCAAGTTGATTAACTAGTTTAATGACCTTGGACTTATCACCTTCTGCAATTAATCAGCGGTTCTAAAATGTTTTAATTTTTTATTTGTGTAGACTATAGATGCAATATTATTTATTTTAAGTCTTTAAAAATTATTTTTCCATGACATTAGTGTGATAGGTATAGGTTATCGAGGTTCAAGCGCAATCAGCGGGCGCGTAATGAATTGATCACGTGCAGGCGATGTGTGTCTGTGCAATCTAATTTTATTAGTAACAGGCTGCATTTATTCAATAAGAAAATATGCCTTATACACCAACAGGGGTGGAAATATTTACCGAATTTTATCATATTCTAGATTATATATGCAAATAAATTCTGTCTAAAAGTAATTATCGGTGCTGCGGTGAATATAAAATTTCTGCACAATATTTATGAAGCAATTTTAAACACCAGCAGTGGTTTGTAATCACGCTGATGTTGTGGATCAACAATTAGCTACTTAACAGAACTTTTAGTAGGCATTTCTTCTCAATGTCATGATAACACACCTATATACTTATATTTTTACTATTTTAATGATACCCACAATCCAAACAGCAAACCTATATGAATGTAGTAACCAATTGACTAATTAACTTATCCTTCCGACTGTTTAGAATGATCTTCGAGTCTGTAATGAGGTACTGATCATTTGATTAGGCCATTGTTTTTCAACTTCTTAAATACGCGACCCCTTTGCAAGTTGAAACATTTGGCAACCCCCTAGCGCCTAGAGCACAATTCTACCTGCTGATTTAAATGACGTGCTTAATAAGATGATGAAAATTTCGGGAGCTTTACATCCATCGGAGTAAAATGTAGAGTCCGCTCACTTTGAAGGCTCAAATCTCAAAATCGCTGGAGCCGATATTAATAAAATTTTTGGAACGTATCAATTGGTAAGTTGTTGTTAACATACGTAAATTGTAAATTTTTGCTGCCAGGACTTTTTACGTTATCGAATTTTCCTCACAAAAAAGTACTCTAAAATGCGTGATTTGTCGCGATGCTCAACTGTACAGGTCCATAAATAGTTTATTTTTCCACGAAAATTCATACATTTCGGGTATTACATAACCCAATTCTTGCTGTAGCTATTGTAGAAAAAATTAGGGAAATATCTTGTTCCCTTTTTGCGTAATTAGCGGAAAAGCAAAAACATTGCAACGCAGCTATTATTGAAGGAAACGACTTCATTCTTTTTTTATAAGATGAATAAAATAGCAAACGTCATAAATGCGTACATATTGTCTGAAAACAACTTGTGGATGTTTGTTTTTGTGTAAATTAGCCAATACTCTACGTACGAAACAAGATGAATAATAACCTGCGGTTTTCATGTGTGATGTGTGGCAAACATGATTAATACCTAATAACAATTTCATGCATAATATTACTTAACCGTGTACTTAGCGTGTGTGCCGCTTTATACGAAACGTTGCTGCAAGGTACAACTTTGCGATTAAATGACCATCCCCCCAACTCCGCTCGAGGTGTTGCGTTTATCTCTTTCGCTCAAAATATATTAATTCCTGCAGCCCTTCACATTTTTTTGTCATTGATTCTATTTCCTGATCATATCATTTGTAATTGTCCTTTATCGATGTGAACAAAACTTTTTAAAGTGTATCTTATAATAAGCGAATAAACGGGTCTGTCATTTTATCGCTGTAACGTTTGCGTAACTATACAGAAGTGCATAAAAATGTATCGACGTATAGTTAAAGGTGTATTCTATCACATACGTAAACATTATCCCATTTGAGTGAATACTTTTTTTGTAATTAAATCCTAAAGTTCTGAGTTCGTATACTTTCATTGAAAAAGCGCGCTTTCCCGTACATATTTCACTATCACATTTTCCCAAATTTAACAAGAAATATGACATTACGTACGGATACGTAGAAATGGTTGACGATTATATTACGCTTTATTTGATAAAAATCGGGTGGGTAGTTTTTTTTAAATAACCGTTTAAAGCCAGCGGACTCTACATTTTACTCCGATTAAAATGTTCTCAAATTCCAAAAATCGTAACTTGGTATCGGCATATACAGCAACACAATGTAGTTCTCATACAGGGAGATTAATAATCATATGCTGCACAGCTCTTATAAAATATCACATTAGTAATCATTTGCCGCAACCAGGTATATGTGTACCAATACAAAACATAACCTATAATTTCACAAACCAAAACTATGATTTGTGATTCTTATTAGAATACTTTCGTCCCTTTCAAAACGGCTTTTTTCAAGACTACCAGTTTCTTTCGAATATTTACAAGGTGGGTAAATTACTTGTAAATTACAAACAAACGTTTTTTTAGTTGTAGCGTGTAATAGGCAATAGGTTTACTCCGACAAGCCTTTTACTTTAGAAGAGAATAAGATGCGTTTGCTGTCCTGTTTCCGTAATGGGACTAAAGACGAAAGTGGAGTTTGGGAGTACTCGATACGTTTGTGTATACAGGAGTTTCGATAAACGATTGTCAACCATGACGAGGATTACAACAATATACGCCGAAATGCTCATCGTCTACTTGAGCGGTTTAACATACAGGAAGTCTTGCTTCTGGGAAGTCACCTGGCCGCTTAGTGGTTGCTAATAAGGAGGTTGTAAAAGATGTTCTTGCTCGTCTTGAGCAAAGTCGGAAAAAGCAGCTGCGACAATTTGTCCCACTAATGGGCATCTCATACGGAACGTGTGACGCTATTGCCTGGAGAAAATTGTACTTCTATCCTTTAAAGTAACCGTAAATTATTGCATGCACACCATTGCCGAATTACGAGCAGGTATAGAAGGTACCGTTTGAAACATTACGCAACAGCACTTACATGCCGTCTTCGAAAACATGAAGAAAAGAGTTGATGCCTGTCTTAATAATGGTGGCAAGCACTTCGAATAGTTGTTATAGTGTGCATGTAATTTATCCAATTACTTCGATATTAACGAGTTGTAAAAGAAATAAAATCGTTTCAATTTTTGTAGTAATTTGCTATTCGTGTAGTTCCACATAATTTGGAAACTTACAAGGTGGTTAAATCGTTGATTTAGGTTAAATATGGTTAAACGTCAAAAGTTTACTTTAAGGTTATGTTTTAGTATTGGTGCACCAGGCCTGTTGCGGCAAATGATTAGTAACGTCATAATTTATTGAAGCGGCGCAGCAACTCAATATTGATCGCACTGTACCATGAAAGCATTCTAACAGCTAAGGCTGAAATTAAAGGATTCCTTGGAAAATTGAGTGTTTGAAAAAATATACATACAGTGACAGTTATTAAGAAGTAGAGATAGGGATTTACGTCTATTTTCCCTATGTCTACTATTAAAAAACTAATTGTCTTCTCGCCTAATTTTATGCATCTAAAATTACTTTTTAAAAGAAATAAACATCTGGCTGTCATATTAATTAGTTCAAATATTGTTATTTTGGCCTAACAGAAAATAAACCGTTTACGCTCCTTAAACTGTTTCCGGTACTACACCAATTGACAATATTAACGTTTTCTTCAGTTGAATACATCGTACACGAACGAAACAAAAATACGGAACCCGAAGCGGACCCAAAGCAACAATATTCAAATTAATAGGGAAAAACTTAGGGAAAAACAATACACACAAATCCCTATGTCTACTTTTTAATGAATAGCGCTGTATATACGAATCTTTTCTTTGTGTTCAGAAGGTTGTCGAACAAACTGCAATAGATCACTTGTTGGTAGAACGCTCTCACGTTCCTTGCATGATTCAGAGCTATCAATTTTTCCAGGACTGTCCAGTTCTGAAGGTTTCTTGGATATGCCAGTACAATAAATCAAAAATAGAACCACGTTTCACTATGTAATTAACTTGAGAACCATTCAGTGCACACCGATGCGAGTTTCTGTCTAAACTGTTTATTTTCAGATAAATTTGAACACGTACCAAACTGATGGCGTTTTAGACAACATAAAAAAGGAAAGAGGTTATACGTACGAGGACGAACTGGTCTGCTCTAAAGAATGCTTGCAAAATTATGAAGAGAAACTGAAAATATTTTTTGCCGAACATTTGCATACCGATGAAGAAATAAGATTTGTGGTTGAGGGTTCAGGATATTTCGACGTTCGAGACAAAAATGATGAGTGGATTCGGATTGAGGTTAAACCTGGCGATTTGATTATTTTGCCAAGTGGAATTTATCATCGCTTCACGTTGGATACAACTGTAAGTAGTTGATGGCATTCCAATTTATAGATACTTCTTAACATAACAAAACTGGTTAAGATAATTAAAATCGATTAATCGTACGGGCAGCACGGTTAGGCAATAATTTAATCTTGTTTTTGTTTGTTTTAGAATTTTATTAGGGCAAAGCGATTTTTTGTGGGAGAACCGGTTTGGACTGCATATAACAGGCCTGCGGATCACTTTGAGTGCCGAAAAAGTTACGTAGAAAAATTGAACGTGAGGCAGATTTCAGTTTGAAACAGTTCATCATAACAGTCGTTTATCATTCATAAAACTACCTGGTTGTAACAATATTTTGATGTGACAATAAATACGTTACCTACTGTTTTTACTTTCATGAATATTTATTCTACCTACACGTTTATATTTCCTCAATAAATGCGTTACTAGGTATACAAAAATATGATGGAACACTCCATTGGAAAGTCTACTCTTAATCGGACGGAATTGGAGGATTCATTGTTTATTATAGAAGAGGTGAGACCGCTAACGTATGTTAGTGAAGATATATTATGGCTTATCACTGAATTCATTTAATAGTAACTTACGTCGGTTTCGTTACGCTGCATAAGAACCATTGACCCGCAGGTTTCTGGCAAGTAAAGGTTTCTGGAAGGACTCAAAAGTTCTGTCAAATTGCTTTTCTAGAGATGTTGTTGATAAAAGATTGGTAGAATCGATTAGTAGCCGTTTTGGGGTGTATTTTTTGAAGTTGAAGTTGGTGGGGAATTAAGCCGCGTCAGATCAAGCCAGCATCGTGCTACTGGGTCGTAAAATATATACTAATCGCAATGGCATCGAAGAGGTCGGAAAAAAGGGTAACTCAATCGCCGCAAAGTTGCGCGGAGTGTCTAAATCGAGGGATAAACGAGGTATAGCCTGAAGTTTTTGCTTTAAAGTGAGCACAATCACAGTATTTGTGACTCATTATCAATGGCGCTCTGCTCGCGCAGGTCCTTAGCGTATCCACTTCTCTCTGTCAGCTCTTCTCTTCATCATCGGATTATCCTTGACTTCCCTTCAACTCGCTAATCATTGTCATTCTTCTTCTTCCTCGCCTGGAATCTCTCTCCAGCACGCTTCCTTTCAATATCTCTCAACAAACAGTCGTTCCTTAATATATGCCCAGTTCAAATACTGTTTGTTTCTGCTATGGTGTTCAGTATCGTTCTTGTCACCCCTCTTCTCGATAACACATTTTCATTTCAAGTCTATCTGAGACCCTTTGATTTTTGAAACCCTCTCCTTTTCACATATGTTGATGGAACTATACATAACTACGTTAATTCATTTAAAGCTTAACATTACAACAACGACATTTTGATAACGTTAATTTGCACAGTTGGAGTCACGATGCTGTTATATTAAAAATGTGCCTTCGGGCATTTACGTTGCCTTGCAGTTAGTAAAATATAAGATGAACGCATTCTGCAAGGAAAAAAACAGCTGGTTGGTGACTCATCATTTGGCAGGTTCATTAATTGTAGTTTAACACGTTGTTGGTTTTCTGTGTATTGATCGTGTGATTTAATGTATATTATTTAGGAACTTACGTTTTTTTAAATGTGAATTTCAAACATGTAACGTTTTCAAGCAAGAGGGATTTTGCTAATTAAACTATTTTATTTGTTTACTCATTGGTAAACAATTGATTACAAGACAAAACGCAAACGGGTAAACGTCATCTTTTAACGCTACTGACTTGTAACTGACAGTGGCGTGTAAAAATTTTTTTTCTTCAAACGTCAAAATATTAGGCCATTGTTCGACTGAGTAGTAGGCGCCAAAGTTTGACATTATCGTTAGAGCAGTTTTTACTTTTCCTTTTCCTGTCGCCGGAGGGAAAAGTGTTGTTATGGAAACACAACAATTTCATTTATTTATTCAAAAAATTATGATATATTTTCAGACTTATTCATTAATGTAATATTAAATGTACAATTGGTAAGTGTTGCATTCTGAAAATTGAAGCCGTGCAACGATGAACTAGACCCTGTTAAAGTATTTACTCTCGATTTAGGCGATGACCTCGGCNCCCTCGTGCTTTTTTAGAGGTACCCTTGCAGAAGGTTTAAGTTGTTGTATTTACCTTACGAATTAGTAGGAAAAGCGTCGGAGTAGCTTGGAGCTTGATGTTTGTATTGACTTATTATAATAAACTAACTGACACCTGTCTAGCTATAGCTCAAAATATTAAATACATGCAACTTGAAACTTGAAATTTTATAATTTCTCCTCGTACACATCTGGCATATCTGTTATAAGTATAGCGCGCATTCGTACCTCCAGATGCAATATGGTACTTATGGACATAGAGGCTTGCCAACCGTGACAATGACAGCACAAGAAGATTACCTATGTTGTGTTTTAATACTTTTATCCAACACCTCTATGTTATCCAGTCATTATCATGACGAAATTAAACGAGTAAGGTATAATATAATAACCCACTAATGAGTTATGGACGTAAAATAACTCACTAGCAAGATAAAGTACAGGAACCATAAGTAAATCCATATAAATTTTCTGACTAAATTTTTTGTTGTTTATTATTCCCCATAGCAACGAATTATTGCTTTTGTATTCCATGCACTCTAGCTTTTCGCGGAACACGCAGTTTTTAAGATTTCCACGTTTTAAACCAGCTTGAGGAGGTGTTGGATAAAGTTTTGTATGGTGCACGTGTGTTAATTACAAATAAGTCACTTGAGAAAATAACCCCACTCGGCCTGACGGCCTCGTGGGCTTACTTTTTTCTCGCGTGACTTATTTGTAATATAACACACTTATACGATAAATAACTATTATTTCATACTGCTCTATTTCTATTAAAATACCATTTTGATTAGAATGTTGTAGGTACACATTAAAATAAAAGCAAAAGTCGATCACTTGATTTGTTTGATCTGACAGTAGTTTGACAAATATCAATATCAATCAATCAATCAAATATCACGTTTAGATGGATGTCAGTTGCGGTTGCTAGGCAAAATTTCCAGTCTGGTAAACATTTTCAGTCTGGTAAAATACGATTTATCTGCGTCTGTAGGATAACTCTCAGTTATCCCGGACATTTTAAGTGGGATAAGAACTTAATTACCACGCTCAGTGGGATAAGAACTTCATTACCACACTCAGTGGGATAAGCCCTTGTCAAAACAATGTATGATCAAAAATCAACTATCAAGATTATATATTGTAAACATTAACGTCTGATGGAAGAGTTCCAGACTCACTCATGACATAAGCAAAGAAATCAGAAGCAAAATTTTTGACGTACAAATTTTCTTGACGTTAGGATTTTCTTGTTTCTATGGCGTCGAAAACTGCTAACTATGCTACTTCGATTGGAATTTAAAAAAATGCATCAAATTTATTTTTCGTTTTTAGCAGTAGAAGAACAGTCGCAGATAAAAAGTTGTATTTAATACTTGGGCTAACGGCCATTAACATACTCATGCTCTTACAATAGCTCGGGCTAACGCCCTCGTATGCGCAATTGTCGCATTCGTAAGTTAATGAGGCCGTTATCCCACTGATTAAATAAATAACTATTTTCTTCAAACGTCAAAATATTAGGCCATTGTTCGACTGAGTAGTAGGCGCCAAAGTTTGACATTATCGTTAGAGCAGTTTTTACTTTTCCTTTTCCTGTCGCCGGAGGGAAAAGTGTTGTTATGGAAACGCAACAATTTCATTTATTTATTCAAAAAATTATGATATATTTTCAGACTTATTCATTAATGTAATATTAAATGTACAATTTATTGGTAAGTGTTGCATTCTGAAAATTGAAGCCGTGCAACGATGAACTAGACCCTGTTAAAGTATTTACTCTCGATTTAGGCGATGACCTCGGCGAAGACGATGTTATTAGATTTCCTGATGCGCCTGTTTCAGACACCGCAGTTTCGTTTAAATTTAATATTCGGCTAGCATTCTCTTTTTTGTTGCGAATCGACTCTTCTATGTATCCTTCTGCTACGGAAGTTGACCTCCAACCCCCGTGGCGCTTCAACGACTCCATACTTCCTCCACCATCGATGAGTAATGTAGCCGAAGTACGCCGTAAACAGTGACCCGTATATTCTTGGACATTGCCTAATTTTAGAAATTCGGCAACTTTTCTGGGTACAGCACTGATCGTATGAATCCCCATAACATTTTTATAGCACTTCCCATTCTGATATTTCAAAAAAAACCTTCTCTCTTGCATATCTCTCGGTCTTAATGAAGCGTACTTGTGGTAAATATTCATGAACATTTCTCCGATGATGGTAAACGAGCGCACTTTTTTCGTTTTGCTATCGGGAATTTTTATTAGGATTAAATTTTCCATATCTTCAATGTCGCCTATATTCATTTTCATCATTTCGTCGCATCTGCATGCCCCGGTTACTCCGATTAATAAAACAATCTGAATCATAATAATATTACATTGGGAGAATTAAAACTGATTTAAATTCACCTTTATTCCTAAATATACATCATCTGGTGCGTCCACTAGAAAACCTTCAAACTGCTCTTTAGTAAATATTCTGGACTTTTTTGCAGAATACCCTTCATTGGCCTTTTTCAAAAAACATCGTAGCTTTAAATATTGACTTATATTTATTCCATGCTTGATAATTAATTCGGATTTGATCATGGAATAACGAGACCACATTGTCGAAGATTTCCATTTTTTATCTTTTTGCATCTGATTAAAATACGCAAGAAGTACATTTTCTGAATAGATGATCACATTCTTTCCATTACACCATTGAATGAAGTGTTGATATGCAGCTAAATACTTTTCACCGGATTTCGAAGGTCCGAGGCACGATACTGCTTCATTCGCCTCAACGGTAATTTCGGGCGGCGTGCATTGCATTCTAAAACTAACTAATTTACACTATCTTTTTAGTGATTTAATTAACTTACTTCTTTGTTATCGAGAAATCTTTCTTATTCAAAATTACGAACTGACATGTAATTTTTTCACTCAATAAAATTATTTACTGCGTAACCAAGGAAACAGCACCTATGCACTCATGTAAAGGAAAACAAACTTACCTACTTGACAATGACGTTTAATTTAACGAAAGCGATTAATATCCCTTAAAAACCTGGTGTTTTGGATAAATTTGCGGAAGTTTGAAGAAAAAATAGCATATTTTATTTGGAGGAGAAGTTACTTTTCATGGCTTGCCTTCTATTAGCCGCCTCACTCCGTTCGGCGGCTAAACACAGGCGCGCCATGAAAAGTAATACTTCTCCTCCACATAAAATAATGTACTATTACCAGACTCAAATCAGTCTGGGAAAGCGGCGATTACTAGATAGTATGAAATAAAAACAATAACAATTGAAAATGAGCATTCCGGACCAACTGTATCTTATAGGAAATTTTATTCTAAACAAGTTCTTTACTTCTTTTCTATGCATTCTTTCCCTCAGAGCAACAGTTAATGAGATATTCGAAGTCAACTGCGAAAAACACGACATTTTCTCGTTTTTTCTTCGTTTTTTTGTTAATAACAATATTTTTCAGCTAGGGGGACTATGATTTTCGGATTTAGCGGATTTTTTTACATAGGATACGCTAATTTCGTTGAGGGAAGTGACAACATCCAGCCCAAACCGTAATTTGACTGGACTAATAGTAACCTATCTTTTACTGTAGGATTTAGATAAGTCAGCGGAAAATGTAAGGAAACTGTTTACACAAAAAGAAGTTTCCTCTACGTATAATAAGACTACGTCTCACCACCGAGTTGTCCCGAAGCCGAGTCTTCCTGTACCGCCACGTACGTTAAATTCGAACTTGAAATACATATCAAAGGTCTCGTGGATCTTTCGCGAAAAATACATTATTCTGTTTGAGTGTTTGTTTGCCTGGGACATACGGTATGTAAACTAAATGAACAACTGTAGTCAAAGTAATAAACTAAAAAACTAATCTAAACGCTATCATTCAAGAAACAAGAACAACAACAAAATTGGAGTAAATTTTTACAACAACAAGAGTGCCGAGATGTCTGTCCTCTTTTTATAATTTTGGGGTATCGATCTTTTTTTACAAAACATCGATTGTTGTCACACCTATGAGGTGGAAATAACATTTTCTTTTCTTTAGTTTACAAAAAAAATCATTTTCATTCTCATTGCTATTTAAAAATGTGTAAGTGAAACATTTGAATCTCTAATTCTCTGCAATAGGTGATTTAGAAAATTATTCGAGGGTAAATACACAAGAGCTTGATTTTTAATCGGATAATTTTATTTTTACACGAAAGTTTTGTTGCAACGAGAAAAACTAGAGATCCAAAGTGTGATAAAATTTATCGTGTGCTTTTGATCAAGAGTTTTTTCCAGGAGGCAACACAATTTGAGAGAATTAAAAATAAAATTATCCTGATTTAGGCGATTAATAAAAGACAGTAAATTTTACAACCACTATACATTTTACGCATTCCTACAGGCATTTTTATCGCTGATAAAAAGCTACCTAGATTTTAATAATCAGATAACAAATCATCTGATTGGTTAGAATTTTAACCAATCACCAAGCTGATTGGCCGTATATTAATGGAGTGTATTAATCGAAGAAAATCTTCGCGATTCAAATCGTTACTACCGAATTGGATACGTGATTCGTGCAGGTTCTGTGCAAAAGGATCCATATAAATCACAGAATAAAAATAAGCATAGCAGTAAATAAATTTAAGGGTGATCAAACTGGAGGTGGTTGTTAAAAAGTATCTCGTTTAGACTTGAATGGTGAAAATCACTAGTTTAGTGAGCTGGCACTTTGTTAGTTGTGATATTTTGGAATTTCGAGTTCCACCTGCTTTTCACGTAAATTCGGTGTTTCCAAGCTAACACTCGTATTCTTTTATACTCGTAATATTAATAGAGAATTCAAAAATCTTAACTTAAATTATTTTACCATTGAAAATTTCCAGCTTTCGAACATTTTCGTGATTTTGATCGAAGTCAGATGTTTGTAATAAATTTGCCAATGCTACAACCTAAAAACCGTTGAGTGAAGGATTCCTTCACTCAACGTAAAAACTCATTCTTGCAGTCATAGAATGTCTCCTAGATGTAAGCAACCCTCTGTACATTTTAATGCAGAATTTAGGCAAAATGTTTATGCTGGGTTATCGAACACTAAAAATTTCCATCAAATTGTGAGATGCACGTCCTCGATAACTCTAGAAACATGCAAGCCTCTTGCAAAAGACAATCCTGTATTCAAAAATGCATAGGTTAGGGGTTACCCTACAGCTGTACCTACTTTACGGTACATAACAATCCACCCCCTATTATCCATGACATGCATTATAGTGTGTAGTACGAGTTGCTTGAGGTTAGGCGTTCTTGATTCTATTGTGCAACTTTAACCAGTTTAAATTACACTTTTCTACTAAACTAGTTACTATATTATATATTATTATTTGTTTTGAAGTTTCCGCTACTATTGATTTAGTTAAAAATAAAAGCTTCCAATCTTATAACGTCTGTTTGAATCAATTCGATATTTTGGGACAGAATACAGAGTGTAAAAATTGTAAAAGGTTTACAAAAGTGAATGAAACCATTGAATAATAACTTATTCAATGATGAAACGTAAGAAAGGCTCGAGTTTCAAATAAAAAATCTATCAAAGAACCTTTGCTCCAATTGTGATTTAAATAGGTTTTATTGAAGCTAGTTCTAGACGTGAGAAAATATACCTAATATAAAACATGTTTTACTTTACATTTATGCCTATTGACTATTTTAGGTGTAAATGAAGAATCATTTATTCCCAAGTAATACAGATACCTTATCTACAAGAATAGACTGTCACAGATGTGCCAATTTACAACCAGGCCAACACAAGAGAACGCAAAAAACTACAATACCAAAGTGTGTAAAATAAAAGTTTTCGTCGCGTTAATTGACATTAAAATAAATGTCGTCCATTAATATTTAAAATTATTCATTGCTTCACTCGCTAACGTGACACAAAATCAGATAACAAAGTTGCCCTTTTTGTTTTATTTAACCAACAATTTTTGTTCTTTTCGGTATAAAATATTACTGCAACCTACAAACTTATAATGAGACATCAATTATGTCGTCATATTTTTATCCATATATGGCGTATAGTCTAGTGGCATTGAAAAAAGAAACTCGGTACACTTTTTCTCAGATAAAAAAGTTTTTTTGCGAACCATCCAAATTAACTCCGCGTAAGTCCACATTGCATTATTTCGTGAAGTAATGCCCTAATTGATTTATTAATAGATCGACTGATCGGCACTTACTAATTTTATAACTAATTTGTTTACCTGTGATTGGATATTTCGCGCAGATAGAGAAGCTTTTTTGAGTGAAATAAATTCGGCATTTTCAGTGGAAAACCTTACCTTTTGCAATTTCACTTTGTAGGCGTCGTTAGTGGTAATATGGTAAAATAATAAACAGCGTTATAATTTGTACATTTTACAATTTATTTCCTTGAATTTGGCACAGAAAACAGTGAGCCTATAGTTCTAGTAATCATTTCTTTAAATGTTTTTGAGATACAGGTCTATGCATTTTTTTTTAATATTTCATAGACATTACACATTGATTATGGTATTTTTATAAACAACATTCACTAGCCCTATATGCATTAAGGAATATTTTAAATGCATACAAACATTTGCTCTTTCTCTCCGTTTCACTTTTTCAACACTAGTGCTTTACGTCTCAATTTAAAATACTACATACTTCAAATAAACTATACCTATGTAGATTACAGGTATCACATTTTATTTAACTTATCATCAAATACAATTATAACACTTCTCTAACCTTTCTTTATAGACAACTAATATTTTGTTTAATAAAAATGGCCCCATAACGATTCAAATCATAAGCTGCTTCAGAGGGAATTTATAACTAAATACTGCAAAGAAATAACATTGGATCAATGAAAAATGCGGGCGTTCGAGAAATATTAGTTGTAATAATAAAATAAAAATTGGCTTGCAAAGGTCGTCGCCTGTTTTTTAAAAGTATTTACATTCTAGAATCTACTTGCTTAAATACCCATGAACAATATTATTTTTTAAGGTTAAATACGTGGTGATTGTAAAGTTCATCGATTTAATTGCAAAAACAAACAACTTTGTACTGATTGTAAAATAAAATATATAAAATTTTGATTGTTTTTGCAACAATTAAATAACAAAATTTACAATATGTCGTTTCTAAAACAGAAATGGATTAAGTAGAAGTGCCCAGGTACTTGCAGATGAAGATTATAAAAAAAATTAAGACCTCTACCGATAGGTAGCGATTGGCGCAGGGCACTTATAAGTACAGATTCGGTAAAAATAGGGCACTGTACAAGTACAAATAACTTTAAAATAAATAATATTAGTTAAAGTACTGGCTCTTAACATTAAAATATACAAACATCAACAGTAGAAAATAATATACATGAAAATGACATTGCACTTGAACCAAAAACACTGAGCACTATGTAAAGTTACTGTTAATAAATTTATTCGCGTATATGCAATGTAAAAAAACACATATAAAACTTTACAAGAATTTACAATAAAAGAGAAAAACAAATTTCGATATATAACTAAATGTAAATAAATAACATGAAAATCTGAATGGCATATCTACATAACAATACAACTACAACACCAAATAATTGTGATAATAATAATAATAACCAATAATTTTTTATAAGTCTCGTAAAAGTTCACATTTGCGTCAACTAGATGGCACACTTGAATTTGAACTGCCCTCGAGAACACTGTGTTAAGGGACACTGACATCTGGATAAGTTCGAGCGTTCGTAAAAAAAGGAAAGTATGTTATATATACAAATTCCTTTGTCGAGATAATAAATAATTTAAAATACTTTGTCATGTCGTTTATTCGAGTAAGTCACCGATTTTCCAACTCGTATCCGCCCGTGAATTCGTTAATACCAAGGGAAGCTCAGTTCCCTTGAAACTCAGGTTCAGTCATCATCATGTCTGGGACTCGAATCGTAGGCAGAATGTTCGTGCATAAAGCTCATCGCTTCTGGGGAAATACTGTCACTGTGATAAAATCCTTCGGAACTCGGCCCCGCACCGTTCATCGAAATCATGGGGGGAGAAACGGACATTCTTCCCGCTGACGTAGACGCGGGCGACGTTAGGTCCGAACCGGGTGCAAGAAAGCTCATCTCGGAACCGCTGTCGCGACACCATAACTGGCGCATTTCCTGTCGCCTTTGGCGCATTAGCATTTTGTATTCCGAAATGCGCATTTTTTTACCGTCTACGATGCAAGTTCGTTTAGGTCGCGGCCGATATCGGTAATCCGGATGTTTTTCCATGTGCAGCTTTGATAGTCGCGACTGTTCTTCGTAGTAGGGTTGCTTCTCTGCGTTTGACATCGCCTTCCAGCGCGCTCCTAAGATTTTTGAAATGTTGGAGTTGTGCATATCGGGACAAGCCTTCAGGATTTTTCGCCTTTCGTCCTTCGCCCACACCATAAATGCGTTCATTGGTCTCTTGATGTGAGGTTTGTTTTCGGATTCCCTCTTCACCTGCCTTACAATTTTCGCGTCCTTGCTGTCTTCGGCCAGCTTATAACTGGGGTCGCTACCGGCCCACACTGAAAAACACTAAGCGTGAGACGACGAGCGGTTAGATTATTAGGCGATAACTTACTGTGACACGCCGCAAGGTAGTCGGGTTCGTCTTTAATCGAGGGGTCATCCCTAGGTTTGCCACCGGTGAGGTGCGACGCGCTTGACAATCCATACATGTGCATGGGAAAATGGTGTTTGTCAGGGCTCAGTAGGCCCTCCTTTCCCGTTTTGTGGCGATCTGTGTTGGGGGGCAGCGGGAATTGAGGCGGTAAGCCCGCGTACGCTAGGAAAGGTCTGGGCATCACGAGACCTGGAGGTAATAGTTTAGGGGTGGTAGCTGCGACGGGCTGCTCGCTAAAGCTTTGCATACTGACTGGGATATTGTGAGGACTAGATCCGGTCGATTCAGAACTGGAAGACTTAGGTTTTGTGAGATTGAGGGGGGCGTCGGGGTCGGATATTTGTGGTGGGGGAGAGGGAGTTGGCTGACGCGGGGGAGATCGTTTGTCCGTTGTGGTCGAGATTGCGGCTGCGGACATTTGGGCCAAATGCGCTGTTGCTGATATCCAATTTGGAACTTGATGAGGTGGAGGTAGCATCTGAAAGAGAATCAAATGTGAGCTAGGGACGTTTTGCTGAATTTGCGACGTACCTGATTGGGTATATGTGACTTTCCCAAACCGGGGGGTACAGCTGCCGGGTGCAATCCTCGCAGCTGCTCAAGGAAAGGTAGAAAAACGAGTCCTTGAGGTCCAACGGCACCGGTCGCTGCATACTTTGCGTGTAATTCGTGAAGTTTCTGTTGCTGCAAGAGCTGCTCATGCCTGTGAATTTGAAGTTCGATTTGCTTCTGTGTTTCATCCGCAATCGCACTTGTCTGCAAAGAAAATCAGAATTACAACTGCTATTGGGAATAATTCAGCATAGTTTCGTATAGAAATACATTTTAGAATTGTCCATCTGCTACATACGAACATTCTCAATCTTTTTTTTAAGTATTTGCAGGTTGCCAAGCCGCCTACTGTTACTAAATATATGTCGGCAGCCATCCAATTTTATTCTCCATTCACTGCATCTTCCATGCTCGGTGCATATTTCTAAATCCTCTGGAAATGAAGTGCCATTCTTATTTACGCTTAACTCTACGATAATAGCAACGGTTAAGACGACGAAAAATAAAAGTGCAATTGTCACATAAATGCAACTTCCTGTAGGAGCGGAGAATAAATCTGTTTCGCAAGGTTTAACCTCACAACACGAAAAAATTCTGAATGGAATATCAAGCGATGTCGCAAGAAACATATGTTAGCATGAACGGAATGGTTGACATAATCATTCTTTATCTATATGGAACGATCTCGTGTTGAACAGAGAAGAGTAAGCTCTTGTGAGTAAAATGTATTTAGGATGTTATATATTATTTAAAGGTATAGAGCTGGACAAGGATTATAGGAGACAACTGCCAACTGTATAAGAATAAGAGTAACATGAGGGCAGATATTCTAGTGTCGGTCATTATTACGACATGATGTATCGCTTCCGGTCCGTGTTAATTACTAGACCAGCTCAGAACAAGAACTCTGGGTGTCGAGATTCTGTTAGAAAATGTGACTGTCTCTTTCCGTTCAGTTTTAATTACTTTTATATAGTATAAAGGATTACGCCCCGGCAGCGATGTTTTTGTTGTAAACTCTTAAATAACATAAATTACTCTGACAATAACGACATAATAATTAAAAGAATGGAACTGCTTTTACATCCCCAGTCATTGGATATCTTCCAGAAGTTGTTTCAACAGCGATGGGCCAACAAGCGAGCATCTGAGAAGGATGACAATAGATCTTAGCAGCAAAATTTAATCTACTTGTATTGTATACACACGTGAGACACATAAAATCGAAGCAGACGTCAACTGTTAACAGACAAGGAACAGAGTTTAATGAATCAGGGAAGCGATAAAGAATAAAGTGAGCCAATGAAGTGGAGAAAGATCAAAGTTATTCGAGCGGCACGTCAACATACTTCTAATGGAAACATTCAATACAGATACTCGAAAATATAAATTTGAAACCATTCAAATAACACACATAAACTCTTTTACCGTTTTACATTAAAAAGCAGTTTGTTTTGTAATGTCGTAAAAAGTCTCTTCTATGATAAACATATAGCGGAAAATCCAAAAAATTAGCCAACAATAACATCTTTACAACAATATACAGTCGTTTCCTTATGCAAAACTCACACCTTTGTCACATCTGTATAACATATGCGTCCTCAAAAGGAACGATTCACATCAGCAACAGCAGTCGTCTGTGCATCTCCTCTGATTTAAAGCAGACGTTCACTCATACAATTATTCATTGTTTTAAAACAGAATGTAACCCTTCAACTGATACTTTTGATCTTTTAATGATGCCAACAAAGAAGCTCTATCTGAAGATTGCAGTGCCTCAATTGTAAGCAAAACGAAGTTTTTGTACACAATTTCCCCGCTCTGTTTACTATAATTACCCATTTCATTAATTGCCATATTATCGTTGCAAAAGCACCCTAAACGGAACCGCCCAAGGTAAACAAGATCTGCTGAACAAATATATATTGGGCTATTTTCTTTATCCATATCGTCGGTTTATTGTCCATAAATCACAACATATATGTATTTAATTATCATCTGGCTTTTGTAGGTCTGTTTTCAAAATTTCCGCTTCTGTTTCCTTTAAACTGTTTATTGTTGTTACAACAAGCAAACCGTTTAGAGAGCGATAGGTACGTGAGAATTATTTAAATCACATCCGCCGACATTTTTACACAAAGTGGGTCAATTAAATGACAAAACATCGATCGTCACCTCTGAGATTATTTAGCAGGAAACCATTAAAATACTATTAGAATTATTTCTTCGATGTGGCAGCAGGCTCAAAAAAGAAGAAATGCATTCGTGTTACCAATATTTATTGTGCAATTAACAACTAATGCCGAAATTTGCATAAATATTTGTGCTAATAACGTGGGAATAAGATTCAGATAGCTAATTTTCTTAATTTAAGATTATTAGTTCAAAACAAAACATGTCCCAGTTTACTTGGGGTAAGGCCACAAATTTATTTTATTTATTTATTTGTTTAACCAGAAACCATACAGAATAAAAATTCCAATTACATGGCACTGGGGCTCTGAACAAATATTAGGACTTAAGATCTAATTTTATTTATTCTTGAATTTAGGGGATCGTGAAAAAAGTCGATATTATTAACTGAGGACAACTTATTTAAAGTGATCAAGATCTTAATAAGTGGGGAAGTTGTGTTGTTAACTGCAAAAATAGTATTATTTTGCCTTAGCTTAACAAATGGTACCTTAAGCTTAATTTCTTGAAGTAATTCGGAAGAGTTTAACAAATTGTGTAAAATTTTGTAGATAAAAATTGTGGAGGCAATGTACCGTCGGGTTTCTAACCTCATTATATTTAAGCCGAAAGTACTATTTAAGTAATTAAGCTGGGTACCGTAAGAGATCAAATGTGGATAATTTTGGGTTGAGCTAAAAAACATTACTCGGATGAACTTTTTCTGCACTTTTTCGATCGTGTCTGAGTATTTGACAGTTTGAGGAGACCAGATACATACATAATTGACGCGTATGTTCCAAAATCATGAGGAAACTGGTGACTTCGTGAAAGCTTTTCGCTTGTCCAAAATGCACAATAAACAAATCTAAAAGCAATTGCACTAATGTCAAATGACTCCAAAAATTTGATTTTTCAGTTGAGCAGAGTCAGAATTTCATCTCTTAGTTGAGTAAAGGAAATCCAAGGGTTTAGGGGAGCCATCTGGTATTTTCTTGATTTGATTTATTGATTCTTGATTTTTTTATTATATCCATAAACGTACAATATTACACCAAAGCTCGTGAGGCAAGCCATGTAGGAAATGATAATACAAGAACATTCAATCTGCAATTTGGCCAGATAAAATTTTGACAGAAACAAATTTGTAGGCAAAAACCCCATGATCCATGGATCAAAAAGTGAACATTATTGAAAAAATTCTGTAGATTCACTTCTGTTTTTTGATTCACTTTCGATTATTACGGCCAGATTGACAGAAAAATGTAGAATTAAACAACCTCGAATGTCTGATAAAATATATTTTGCAATAATCCCTCCAAAAAATGACTCGCCGCTTGAGAAGTGTACAACTCTTTTTTGTTTGCATTTCCTTGAATTTGTTTTTTTTTTTACTTTTTTAGGTGACAGGAGATGTGGCGCTGGAGAAACAGCTTTGCAAATATTTTCGCTTTTCTTCATTATAATTTACTTTTTTATTACGGGGAATAATCAATGCTCTTGCATTAAAAATACTGAGTTTATCCGAAAATTTACCAAAATTTAAGATAGACGCTAAGCTTGTCTGCCGACAGTTAATTAACTCTTTCTTTTTTTCAGTTGCTTTGAGTATTAATAATTTGGGGTACATAGTTTTCAAAAATCAGTTCTGGATGATGGACAGCCAGATAGGTTTTTTTTATTTTAATATTTAATTATAGATTAATGAATTGTGTAATTTATCAATTGACTATAAAATAATCGATTATGATCTATAAGTGAAATATCATACAGATTATGATAATTATATATTGCGTACATAAATAATGATAAGGAAGGAAAAGTTTAATCAAGTTATTCGCCATTACCTACAATAAAATTGGGAAGAAAACAATAATTTAACTGGCCAAACAATTACTTTTTATTTTCTAACTAAAAAATTCTAACACTGTGAAAACGTAATTAACACGAAGAATCACATATGACTTTCAGTAGGGGAATTTTTTGCCACTCAGCTCGTACCTATTCGGAAAGCAGACTTTTGATCCGGCTCATATTCACTAGTACCGAACCGAGCGAGGTTTGACATTTCTTTTCGTTCTCGAGTTAGAAGAGGAACAAAGCAACAAACGGACACAAAACCATTACATAAGGGGAATTTTTTTCTTCCCAAAAATTCCCATAAAAATTAAATGTGGATCGATAACATCATTAAACGGTTAAATTTAATAGTTCAGATATGATAAACAACCCTTAATATACAATGTTTGTTATACAATGTTTATATATACTACGAAATGGGTTTACGCATGTGCAAAACTCACTTTTTTATTAATGGGGAATTTTGATATGTCCTGATAAAAGAAATTAAATGTATTTCCGAAAACCCAATAGAAATTATGGAGCAGAGTCGGTGATACGTCCACCATCAAACTGTTCAGCCCTAAGACCTCTTTCCAATTAGTATTGTGTAATTGAAAAGGACTTTTGTTTTGAAAATAATCTAGAACTGGAGAGTCTGGGAAGTGTAGAATACTCCTGAGGAACAAACGACCAAATATCTCCAGAACGGAATGTCGGAAGTGAGTACTTACAAAAAGAAAAGTAGAGTTCTTGACCAAACGCATCTGCTAATGGATCCAAAACTTCAACGGCGTATATCTCGACAACTGCGTGGCGGAAGTCGATACTCACAAAGGGGAAGTGATTTTTTTAAATGCATCCAACGATACCACACCTGATCGGATCACTCATGACGGAGATATGATGCACTTTAGAGAACAGAGTGCCGGAAGTTGATACTCATAATTAGAAAAGTGAAGGTTTTGACAAAATGCATCTGTTGGCGGAGTTTTTTTTTTGGTTTTGGTTTGTATCAGTTTATGAACAAGCATACATTCGTAACAGTTGAAGCTTGAGAAAAGTACGCATCATTTTCTTAGTTTGTTGAAATTGTTCTTTAAAAAGGTGCTTTAAACCTACAATGATGACTAGTACAATATAGCGCGAGTGGCATTAAAAAGCGTAACTAGCATGAGTGGAGCAGCACCTCAAACATAATCTACAAATACTTCGACTACGAATGGTATTATATATGAA